CATTTAATTTTAGCACTCTAAAAGACGTAAAAAGTTATATGGAGGTCCGAACTTGAATTTGATCCGTAAGCAAGCAACCTCGTGATAGTTCTCTAACCGAAACCATATCGGAGAAAACTGAATTTCCAACTAATTTTTCCTAATTTTCGCTTTATTTAGTGCTGTGATCGAAAGGTGGCATGACGTTTCCGTCAAGCTAAAGGCCAATGTTTTCCGTGGTTAATGAGTTAAGCTCACTTAGCTTACTTTGATGAAGAAAAACGAACTTCTCCTAGTCGACTGTATCTCTTGTAGTCAATAAAAGCCATATTCGCGGTTTCAGAATAGTCAGAAGCAAAATTTAGTGTAAAGGTCGAATATTTTGGCGAAAAGACATATTATAGGAATGCCAAACCAGGAATTAGGGGCATCTTAACGCTTGTTGACAGCCTGTCCGGGCAGAAGGGATTCATAATGCACAACGATAATTGAAGAGAGGCTAGTTCTACTACTTTCTGGTAACCGTTGTGCGTGTTACAAACGTATGACAAATTGAATACCAAGTATAGAAAAAGATCTTAAATTATTTATAAATTACTTTTATGGCGGAGAAAACCACGATCGGTTACAACTGCATACTGTTACGGTGCATACACAATGTTTCGGAATGCTTATCAATATTTCAACATTTTATGTGTAATAGCGAATATCTTATCAAATTTATCGTTAAATAAATACACGTTACAATAATTATATTATTTACGTAAGAGACGCTGACAACAGCAAAGAGAAGAAAAAAAATGAAAACATAGCACAAAGTGTTTTAAAGTACATTAATAAGTTTCATTGCGTATAGTACTTACTGGAGGTGGTGGTGCTGGCGCTCGTCGCTTTTTGCGAGGTGTTCGTTTTGTGCTCGATAAACTAGTTACTTCGCTAACGTTCAGGCCATCGGCGTTGTCTTCATTGTCGGTCTCGAAGGGGTTTGTGCTTGCCATGCTTGTTTGCGATGATCTAATAATCACGACAACAAAAACCACATTATCAACAACGACAACAGCATTGAAAATATCGTAAATATATAAGAAAATTACAAATAATTAGCACCACAACTGGTAACATATGCTATTGCAATACAGAACAAACATTTTAGTGGATTTAGATGTCCCATCAAACATACACAAATAGACATACATGTACCATATTACATGCGGTTTGATTCACAAACATCACTTACAAAAGGCATTCTTTTTGATATGCATTGGACGGACGCACGAAAAACTTCTATCAATTACATGGTTGTAAGGTAATGCTTACTCACCCCCTCGTTAGATTAATGTTGATATATTCATATGAATCTGCATTCATCGTATCTATACTACGTAGTGGTTGTGGCGTTAAAGAACCACGATAAACGTACCTTCTGTGCTTTTGCTGTATTTGCAAATTTTGTTCTGGATAACGATGACTTGAGCCAGAAAATTGTATTGTGCTACGATAATTATCATTACGATTAAAGCCAATACGATCCTACATGAAAAAAAACGTTAGTTATTAGTGATAGATAATGGATAGGGAAGAGAATATTTACGTTCACATTCCCCGCGGGTATGTTTTGTAAGGAACTTCGGTAAACGTTGTCACGCTGAAGGCTATCACTATATAACGGCGATGCATTGGTGCTGTGACGCACGCGATGATCTAACGTATTCCAGTTGTTATTCCCTTGAAGTCCTCGTCGCATTGCTGGCGGACTCTCTGATGTCTTATTAATACCTAACATAGATGATCTTTTTTTCGAGCGGAACGATTTGAAAGCCCTTTAAATATAATCAAGATGCACTGCATAAGCCATTTAACATATTATAACTTTTAGTTAAGACCGTTAAAGGCATTTTTTCTCCTTTAGTGCTTTTTTAATGAACTTTTTAAAGGACACTCGAATTGGTTAAACTATGGGTTCAATACTACAAGATACCACATTAAATAATACTGTTTAGCTAAGACAGTGTTAATGTTATAGATAAAGATTCGGTATTGGTTTAATCATTTCCGACTGTTCGTTCGTCTGTCTGATGGCCATAGACCTAAACATACAGCGAGCGCGACCACCCGACAATTACTCATAGTAAATATTGAAGTGAAATTTGACAGATACCGAAAGCCGTCTAAAACAGCAGTAAAAACATATCTCCATGATCCATTTACACTGTGAAAACAAAATTTATGGCAAATATTGATCTAAAATTACGCATTTGGCTCGAAGGCGAACGTAACTATGTCGCTTGCTATGATCTCTTTTTTTCGGGAGAAATCCTACAAAAGAATAGGCATATTATAATAATTTAACGAAGGGAATTTTCAGACCGTACAAGTTTAACATCGTTTAAGAATTAACGCCTACAGAACGACTTGGTAGCTAACATAGCAGTGACCAACCTCTAAAATCTGTTCCTGTGGAGTATGAAACCTCTTAACTTTCAAATATGATTTAAGGAACGGGAGAATAATGACCCCACTGGCAAATAAACTGGAAACGGGATATTGATTTCACATAACTCGGCAATCAATGAAAATGATCTATGTTGACCTGGTTGTAATATAGTGAAGAACGTTTCTAAACTAATCCGCTAGCTGAGAGCTTTCGACATCGGTATTCATTTCGCATGAATTTCGCTCTATAAAAGTGGATGGTACTAGCATAGTTTCGTAGTGAGTTGTGCCTTTGGTCTCTTTAATATTATATATTTAGTGCATAACTTAAGTTCTTCTATATGTGAAACATAGCAAAAAAAAACTAATGGTCTATCTTTTACTTACCACATTTCTTTTAGATTAGCAATGGAAAGACTGCTACGTCTTTCCCTATTATTGTTGCTCTTGTTGATTTTCCAGAATCGAAGGCGCTTGTGTTGATCCTCTTCGTAAAAAGGATTTAAATGCTCTGGATAGTTATAGACCGATATGTGACTAGTTGAACGTCCATTACGCATGACAACTACGTCACCGTTTAAGCTGCCCATTTTGCATTAAATATATTTATGCTTATGCCTTTTTATATAATTCTGAAAAACTAACAGTAATGTGAAATTGTAACTAAAGGCTTTGTTCACACGTGTTAAATTAGACGAGCAATATAGCGAGTATGCAGAATATAATAGTATACGAAAATTAGTGACAGAGTTAAGGGAACTTATTTACATCAACTCGAAATTCTTCATATCATCTGACTGTGCTCCGCGCTCAAATATGCTTGCTTAGGTTTTCCCCCGAAAGGTCACAATTCAACCCTCTTGCCTTAAGTAATCAGCTTTGTTTAGAAAGTCTTCTAATACATTTGTGGTAAAGCACTTACATTATTGCTGAGTTTCTACATTTTTTTTTTAATTCTCATTAATCGCCCGATTAATTTTGAGATACCGACGGGTATGATAACGGAAATGTTTATACTGTTTTATTACTTCTATGACAAGCAAATTCGTGTTCAACAGAATTAAGCAGTTTTTGCATTCTGCACCACTTGTGCTACAAGGGCATATGAGGTAGCTTGTGCGTTCAGAGATAATTGAGATAGACACACCTTCAATTTAGAATCACTGTTTGCATCGATTTAAGTGTTGTACATGTCTCCGTGTGGTGTTCTTATGCTCAATATGCTACTCGCAACTTTTCAAATATTTTGGTGATATTTGGGACACAAATGTGTTTTGCCCAAACACGGTATTACGATAGTGAAAATGGTTTCGATCGGACTTGTTTTTCGACCACTTGCCATACAACGCATCATTTTAAAAATTGATTATATGAATAGCTATTTTAAGCGAAATGGTGGCTGGTATATAACGGTAGGCCGTAACGCCCTATATTGTTTTTACTTATTATTCTATCGCTGTAAGATGGTGGTATACTCATTTTGTTTTTTTTTATAAAGCATGTAACAGCCAGAAGCAAGTTTCGGAGACACTATAAAGTGTATATATTCTTGATCAGCGTGAACTTCTGAGTTTATTTTGCTAAGTCTGTCCGTCTGCGTGGTGCTTGTTGTTGGCACTCTCCTGGTCGCAAAAATGAAGGTATCGACTTCAAATTTTTTAGAAACATTGGGTTGAGTTGGAATGGAACATAAAGTGAACGCCACTCGTTATGCAGAAATTATAAAAGTTAGAAGGCAAAAATTTTCCATATTTATTTCGCGAGACATTCTACTTTTTATGAACAAAAATGGAAAAAATCGACCATGCCCACACAAAGTTGCAAGTGATTAAATTTTATTTTTTTTTACTTTTTTGGTGTTTCATACCAATTGATGGTAACGCAAACGGGACAGAATGTTTGAAACTACTTTGCACATTCATCAAATGACTATATCTTACCTGCCTAAACGTAGATTGATTCTAAAACGAATATGGTAGGTACCCTGATTAATTTTTTTTAATAATACTAGTGATATGGGTATCAAATAAAAGAACTTGGAGAGTAGAATGCGAAGAGCTTAGTGGTGGGTCTGCGAGATTTGGCCCTGGCCGAATATAACTTTCTTACTTATTAATTTCTATTTTAGTCGAGAAAGTTTATAGGACGTCTACATACATAGACGTAATTAGTTAAAAAAAGAAATTGTTCCTATTTTGTTACGGTTTAAGACACATCTATTTTTTTCCTCTTTTTTCGGTTGTTATTATTGTTATTTTAACTGTTATTGGCCTTTTAAGAAGGAAAAGCAATGATTCGAAATTATAAGAATGGTATTTTGAATTTTACATGTGATGTACTGCTAATCTTATGTTGATTTCCTTAGAAACGTATTTCATAAGATATTGCTCTTAAGTGGCAATTATTCAAGACTTTTTTTTGGTCGGACTTAGTTCATTTAATAGCTGTAATTACCCTTAACTCGCATAATTTATTCTCATTTTACTTACCCGTTTATTTTATTTATTACGAAAACACTTTCAACCGCAAAGTTTTTTAATACTTTAGTAAAGCATTTATTAAGTCTATCACGTAACATACTTAGCGCGGTTCGAAAAGACAACAAATTAATTAGAGAGTTGGTTGAAAATAATTCGGAAGTGATAAATGCTTCAAATACATTTCAATTGATGCTAATTGTTTGTATCTACAAATGTTGATATTTATGGTTTGAGAAATTAGTTTATAAGTAATATTTTAAAACAAAAGAATGCAATCGAATATAAATATATGTACCCATTTATACGTATACAGTGCATGCGTAAATATTAGGTAGTGATATGAACACTTGACTTTGCTTGAAGAAGATTTATTAGCTGCGTTGTTTTCTTATAAATAATGATCCTCGACGAGAGTGGGCAAAAAATGGTTTTTGCACATTAAACGAATGTGGAAAATTTGAATGGGATGGAACCAATTTGTAAGATTGCTTCTTAGAACACATCAACAAGAAAGACGTTGTGTTTGCAAAATTCAATTTTACATCTTACAAAGGGACAATCCGGGACTTATCACTTCTTCTTCTTGCGAATTTCAATCGAGAGAAATTACTATTTTAGATTAAGTGTCATATTTTCAAAATTTGGTATTTTCACGTTTCTTGAAAAGTATATTAGCTTTTTACCCATTCCATGGGCCAATCGTTTTCATCTTTGTGTACGATCCGGTCCGATGAAACTGAACTAAAGCTAAGGATAAGTGGTATTTTTACTTTGAGTTTACGACCCCAAAGTTATCTGAATAGATGGATGGCCATATAGATTCAATTTCAAAATGTCATCTTAATCAAAATTGCATTTATGTAATATATCGTGTATACATTTGAATGTTAATGGGAAAATGAAAAAATAATATATCAAAAACCACATGCAATTGATGTATGCACGGTAAGTAGCTACATGCATTCTGTAACTGTCTGCATTTAAATGAATATTACATAATTTTCTTATTTTCTTTAATTGATTGTTTTCTACAATTTTCAATTAAATGTTGGAGAACAACTAAAACAATTGTATTTGCTTTTAAGTAAATTCAATTGCATCTATTTGCTTACAGATAAAGTAACGTCATTGATCTTTAACCCACACAACCTCGCATAAAGATTTTAATTCGTCTATCAATACATATCAACGCCGGAGCGATTACATTTCAACTTAGACTGACAGGCAAATAATGGAATCTATTACATTTAGCATAAAATGAAACAGAAATAGTCGGGAATTGTAGGGAAATTCTTGTCGCCATTATTGAAAAAATATTAAAATATTGATTGATGTAGGTATATATGCCAATAAGTGCTACATACCTGAAAGATAATGTTTTCGAACATGCATACTAGTTAATTATCGTCTATCCATGTGCTTGTTTATTCGAAACTTTGTTTTCGACATCATCGTTCAAAATTTTTTGGATTAAGCATGGTTTTGCTCTTTTTAATCTTGTCCGATTATGTTTAAAAGTCACTAAATTTAGCATGAAAGTTCGCTTTTAGTTAAAAATAATCAAGTCCGCATATTACAAAGAATAATGTGCCTATGCTTTCAAATTTTATTACATTTGCAGGACTTTACTATCAGTCAAAGTGGAGCCTTTGCGGTTCCGATAGTTTTCATTGACTACTTTGTTTTGTTGTAAAATTCGTATGTTCGTAGAACACATATCCAGAGTAGTCACATTTTCTGTATACGATTAAGATAGTTGAAGATAAAGCTAAATAAAGTAAAAACATATAACGTCGCAATTGAATGTGGAAGAAATATACGAAATTGTTTATAATTCAAAAGGAGATATGGAGAAAACATACGAAATTGTTTACAATTTAAATGGAGGTATGGAAGAAACATACGAAATTGTTTACAATTCAAAAGGAGGTAAGGAAGAACTATACGAAAAACATATGAATTCAAAAGGAGGTATGGAAGAAATTTACGAAATTGTTTACAATTCAAAAGGAGGTATGGCAAAAACATACGAAATAAAATGCGCTAGTTTTCACAATTGACTTGTAAAATGGGTTTCTGTGACTGAGTGACTTAGTTCTGTTGTTGGTCAAAAATAAATTTTTTTTTTTTTTTATTAAAAAAGTGAAATTGAAGTTGAAAGCGATGTGCATGAGAAAATATCACAGAAAATAGAAATACGAATAAAAAAGAGACACGCAGATTTACACTTTACAAAAATTCCGAGAAAAAGTCTTCATACTTGTTTACAAAGGAAAACATTCAGCTCTCTTTAAGGCTATTACGTAAAACAAGCGAGAAAATTATATTCGGCGAAGGACGAATCTCGCATACCCACCACTAAGCTCTTCGCATTCTACTCTCCCAGTTCTTTTATATGATACCCATATCCCTGGTATTATTAAGACAAAATTAATCGCGGTGATGGAAGACATTTTAAAATTAACCCATTTTTCAAGCAGATAAGATGTCTTCATTTGAAGAGTGTACAAAATTGTTTTTAATTGCTTTGTCTTTTTTTGTCTTTTGGTAAATGAGCATTAAACTTCAAAAAAGTGAAAAAAATTAAATTTAATTACACGTAACTTTGTGTGGATACGACCGATTGGTTCCATTTTGCCACCTAAAGAGTAATGTATCTCGAAAAGTAAATTTGGAATGTTTCAACCTTCCAACTTTAATAATTTTCGAATAAGGAGCTAAAATGGCTTAGTTGCGTTCAGTATACGCTTCACTGCGCGCTTCTGCTTTGACCAATGTGACCCAGTTTCGATACCAACCTGCGTGCAGAAACTGTAAGTGTTTTTACCAAATTTGAAGTTTATATCTTCATTTTTGCGAAGAAAGTGTCAGCAACGCACACTACAAGGACACGCAGACGGACAGACATGGCCAAATCAAGAATAGGGTCTCTGAAGCTTCCTTTTGGCTGTATGTAACAGCATGTAGCATTATGAAAAAAAACGAAATGAGTATATCCTCATCTTACAGTGGTCGCTATAAAAAGGGGTCAGGAATTTTAATTTTGTAAGGAGCTCTAATAGCGTAATTGTGGAGTATTTTTGCTATATGTTGTCCCACGGATTTGTCAGTTCGACGAATTTTTTAACGGTTTTTCGTTCAGTCGATGTGGCGTTATGCCACCCTGCCGCCTTGTCATTTAATCGATATCATGTTTTCTCAATCAACTGGTTTGTCAAACTATCAGTTCGACAACCAGCCGATTTTTCATGTCGGTATATTGGTCAGAGCAGAAGCTTGCAGTGAAGCATAACCTGAACGCAACTCTGGTTTTCTTAACAAAAATTTGCTGGTTGGCTAAAATTTACCACATTTATTTCGCGAGACACTCTACTCTTTATGGAAAAAAATGGAAAAAATCTGTCATGCCCACACAAAGTTGCAAGTGATTAAATTTTATTTTTTTTACCTTTTTGAGGTTTCATGAATGAGGCTTATGATAACGCAAACAGAACAGAATGTTTAAAATTACTCTGCGCATTCATCAAATGACTATATCTTATCTGCCTAAACGTGGATTGATTCTAAAACGAATATGGTAGATACCCTGATTAATTTTTTTTAATAATACTAGTGATATGGGTATCAAATAAAAGAAATTGGAGACTAGATTCGAAAAAGCATAGTGGTGGGCATGCGAGATTCGGCCCGACCGAATATAGCTTTCACACTTGTTTTTTTTTTAAATCGATTTGAGTGTCTTTTCTGTCAGGCTTCTAATCTTTGCTTTAATAAAGTTATTCATAAATTTACGCATACTATATATTCGATCAATAATTATTCATTATCACCTCTTTGTTAGGTCTTTCAACTGGCAGCTAATATCTTAGAGGCAATTGATCAACTTTTCAAATCATTTTATATGCTTAAACTCTAAACATGGCTTTAACGACGATTATTTAAACCCGTGCCATGGGGAGTATGAGTAGATGTAATTCAATATGAATAAATGTACATAATAAAACTTATCTGTGTATGTATGTGGACATGAAATGCGCAAATATTTGAAAACATATTGCAGTCGTTGGCAGTCTAAACAGCACAAGTTGCTTGGCGACTATTAGTTCATGTCACGTGGGGAGAGGGGAGTTATTTAAGTATTTGAAAAACATTTTACGCATTATTGTTGCTATTGTTGTAATGATTAAACATTTAAAAATATATTTTCGCTCACAACATTTCATGTTATAATAAATACCTTTATTTTTATTTTTTCGATGATTTGATATTTTATAAGGAATGCAAACACACTGTAATAAATTAATTGCTTAAATGAAAGTCGTATCGTCAGCAATTTTTGCTCATATGTACGTTTTCGGTTTTTCATTTGTTTACGTATTTGTATTTACTGTTGTTAAATTAATTAATAAAAACTTATTTCACTTATTTTGAGCGAGCTGATAAGAGAAGAATGAAGAAAATAAAGTACAGAGATAGAAAGAGATTGCACAGTAAACGGAGTGAAAAGAAAACGAGACATGTAATGAAATCACTTTCGAGTTTGAGTGGACTTTTTGTGGTGGATCTGTTGGATATTATAGTACATTTTAAAAGTGGGACAAATATGTTCGCTATAAAGATGCGATGCAAACGACATTTCAAGATGGTGACGAAATATACTTTATTTGCCAAACCTCGTTTTGTCGGCTTCAAAGTAGGTTTATTTGCTGTCAGTACTACCACTCTATTCTTTGACCTAGGCCTCGATATTTTTCCATAGTCGCATTAAGGTAGAGTGTCCAACTGCTTCAACGTTTTTTTTACATTTTCAATAGATCCAAAACAGTTTCCTCGAAATGGAATTTGTAGCGTGAGAAATATGAAAAACTTAGATTGTTTATCGCGCGTTTTCGATGAAAATTGTCACACATTAACATTCAATCTTTATTTTTTCGATTATTCAAAGCAAAGCAGATGTCTTTTATCAGGATTATATCCTATATAGACTAGGGTTTTGATGTTCACGAAATGCCATACATTTCGGCAGATCAAATTACGCACGTAGAGATATGTTTGGAGAGACGAAATTAGGCGTATATGTGTTGTGCGGCTTTGCAAAGGCCGATTCCGTGTGTAATATATGTGCAAATTAACCGATGACAGCAAATCACGGTAATACGTAATACGTTATATGAAGGATACACTTTTCGGCAAGATATTATAACCACACACATCGCGCCACATATTACATTGAATACAATGTCCACGAAGAGAAGTAACCCAGGTAGCGCGAAATATAGCAGCAAATGTAACCGTAAAGCCTACTTGCACAGAAATATTGGAAAAAATATAATTAAGACACGGAGAGAAAAAATTTGTATTCGCACACTTTTTCAAGCTAATGTACCAGTATTTTGTGAATTTGCTAGATTAAAACGCATGATTTTACCTCAAACACAAAATTCATATGGGTTTATGCAATATCGGGTGAATGACAAGTGATTCCATTCTTTAAGAATCCATTGGAAAGCGGTGCCTTTCTCTTGTCGATATGCACGATCTCATCTTTTTTTCAAAAACGAAGGGGGCAACACTTAACGGCAATCAATGGATTGTCCAATTAATCACAACATGAGTCTCCTCCCATCAATCGACTGAGCAACGTAAACGCACTTTTATTATTTCATTCATCAGGCAGCAATTTGGGCATCCACTTTGATATTTCTTGGTCGAATGACAAATACTTCGGCATTGAAACGTAAATGGGATAAACACACGAGTTTGGGAAAACAGCTTTTTGATTCACGAAGCTTGCTGCGCACGCGCTGTTCATTTAACCTTTATATGGGGACAACACGACAGGCAGAGCTCTAATATTCGAGTCTTTCTTTTTCAATTGTGTAAAATACGAAAATCCTGAATTTCTGAATAAATCTTTTGTTTTACATGAGCTTTTGATTCTATAGCCGCGTTCTTGGTAAACAGAGAACTTCGTATCCCCTAAGAGTTTATTTAAAGGGCATTTCCGCGATGGGCGCATACGACAAACAGGCAAGCTAACACACATGATGAACTAAACGGTATGCATACCTTATGCAAACTACAGTGTACAAAATAAATAGAAAGAAAACACTAAAAAGTAGACTCTCAATTTTCACAGTTTGACAAACAGCAGACGAACCCCCGTTCCACAACAAATGATTTTTTATTTTATCTTATCTTGAGGCCGAAAAATTGGAAGAATTCAAGACTAAATTCGTATTTTCTAGACAAATTTTCGTGATCGTAATTTTGATTTCAATCAAGAGAGAGACGTTTTTGAAGTGGCTCTGCGACTTTTATTGATAAGTAATTTACACATTTTAAGGAGTCCCCGCAATGTACGCGCTATAAGCTTTTGGTAAGCCAGTTTTTTTTAGTTTTATTTCCGACTCATTGTGTATTTTAGGCAGATGTCGTAAAATTGTAAAAGAATGTTTCCATTGACATAAATTCGTTTTCTCTTATGAAAATGCAAGGAGTGTATTTTAAGATATTTATGCGCATACATAGACGACAGTGCCGAAAGCAATGATTTATTGATGGAATGTTTAGAAAAACTGCTTCGTTTCTTTTTCATTATTATTATCGAAGAGACAGTCAATTTCGTTACATTGTTTGCAACCCTAAGCAGTATGCAAGCTTGACTCGGAAATAGTGTTTATAAAAACGATGTACGAAACACAAAGGCAAATTGAGTTAATTGTAGAGCTATATCCTGCATTTCAAGAAAAAAATGCCTATGGCTGCATTTGGAGAAAGCAGACGGGGAGAAACGCACACTTTCGATGAAATTTCAAGTCGATTGGACAGCCAAAGTTCTTACGATTTGCTTGTTTGAGATATCTCCTAAAAAGACATAAGTCAATTGATTCATAAAAACGTATAGAAGCCCACAATGTTGACTTCCGTGTGCGAGCTTGGGTTGACCATGGGTCGAAACATATCAATATATTAACTTATGTTTAAAATAACTCGAAAATTGTTGTAAGTTGAACACGAAAAAGATGGACAGTCGTTGGACAGATTGATTCGAAAACTGATTCTCAACGGATCATGCCATAATACTATGTTGGTCCGTAAAAACTTAGCGCACATAGTGAAGGATAAAAAAAATTTGGAAACTTGGCAATATTTCAATTAAAAGTTTTTCCCAGGGCACAATGACACCACTTCAACTGCAGTACGCCTCAGAATAGATTATGGTTAAGAATCTAGGCTTTGATATTTATTGATTGGCCTGTAGACGTTTGCAAACATTTGGTGCAACTCAGCCAAATTTCGAAGTTATTGCCGACCCATACTTTTGCTTAGGGTAATGTTTTCTACGCACAGGCCAAAATTGTTAAACGTCTGGAGCAGTTTTTAACTATTACAAAAGAAAAGACAACATTGATCGAAAATTTACGTTTTATTTCCTTTGATATCCTAAGCACATGTCATGATCTATTACAAATTTCACATATTATGCAACGTACGATATTTCGTTTATTAGATGGAGAGTGAAAACACAACCGTGAAGAATAGTTTGTACAATTTCGCTAAGTAAGTGTGCATATAATAGATATTTAGGATCAATAGTAAGTGAATATCCTCTAATTTTTTCAGATCAATCTTTCGCTACTGCAAGACCGCTTTGCAGTCTCCATAGGCATAAACATTTCATTGTACGTTTTTACCACATTTTTATGTCGGTGCGGCCCTACTTTTTAGGAAATGAAATATGTAGCGGTTTCAACTAACGTCTATTGAACACTTAAATGGTAGTAGGTATTTGAAATTCTCCTTCACACGATATCTCATTTTACATATGTACGTATATGTGTGTGTGTTGCCAATTCGGTAGGTATTTGTGTATGAAGAAATGCATACATCTATATACATGGATATACATATGTATTTTATTGGTTGACATCAGCGCTGTGGCCACAAAAAAATTTACACTCACATTTTTACATATCCATACACATTGCACGTATGCATCAACACTTCACTACACGTAATCGTACTGTTGCGATATTTAAAAAATTTCACTTGTTCCCGTACATGTGTATATATTTAGCGCCCCGTCTTACGATCAATTGCTTTAAATTGTTTTTTCTTTTATTTTATTATTTATTTTTCTTGTGTTATACACAGAAAGAATCTTTCAAAAAGAAACTCGCTCACCGAGCCCTAGACTAGAACTGAAATTTAGCAAACATCAGCGTATGAATAATTTACTCGAAAGCTGATAAATGCTGAGACGAACTACACCAGCACCATTCGGCCAAGCTATGTGGGCTCTCACGTACACTATTTACACACCTTATTGTTAGTTTTTTTTTTGTTTCACATTATTGGCAGGTGGTGTGTTAGATTTGTCAAATGTTGCGACGCATAGAGATATGATGTGATCAACGTGAAAAAAAACCAATTTATTTAAGCATGTTTGCCTCATGTTTATCCATACGTAAAAATAATCGTGATCTTATATTAGCAGACTTTATTTAGACACATTTGTCTGCGACATATCCTTTCATTGAAATCAGGATTAAATCCATAACCTCTTCAATAGGCGTACACGAACTCAAATTTATTTTTACCATCATCGTCGTGAAAAGTAAATTCCTTTTGTTTAATTTGGAATTTTGACTTTCCAAAGAATTCATAATTTTTGTCCTTCAAAACTATTAAACTTTTTTTATTGCTGTAAAATGAGTTTTGAAATTTTCCTAAACTTTTTCAAGGCAAGTTCGAAAATCAGGCTAGTTAATGTATAGAGCCGTTTCGACTAGTAAGCAAAAAAGAAAATAGTTACATAAGACGGCACATGTATAATATATGTTTGAACCCCGCAATTATCCAGAAAGTGCTACCCAATCGTTCAAAAGTACTATTTAAAGTAGTGAACTTACAAGATATGTAAGATAGGTCGTTGCAGATATCGAATTAGAATATTGTGCTTTTGTGTTCTGCTAAGCAAACGCTGTACCCATTTGGAAACCTGCTTAACTTACAACTTCATTCTCAAAATGTCGACAATCATTTTCAGAAGTTTTGCTGTGTGGTCTGTTGTAACCATGTCATTTCATGTCACCAACAGCGTCGTCATCATTTGAAATTCGTAAACTACCGGCAAGTATTTGGATCCGACGGCGAAAAGTACACAATATTTTGTAAACCAATGTTAAATTTGAACTGTATTTCTCCCCGTCACAGAACATTGTCTAATCAATAAGGGCATTCATATCCTTGCAGTCTTTTGGAGATGACAAAAACCAGCGCAATTTGCAAACAAGTGATTGTAATAACATGAACGTTTCACAGGTGTCGTTTGAAGGTTTGCGCTTGGTTGGTATGTAGAAATAATATGGAATTTTTTGTTGGAACATATGTCTATTATAAGTCCCGAGAATTATTGACCGTAGTGCTAGCAACGGGTCTTAAGCAAATTCGACTTAAGCCAAACACAACTTTTATCGTAATGTTTTAGCTTATTTTTGTATTGTTTTTGTTATTGTTATTACATATTTCAACGTTCATTTTCATTTATTTCGAAATGCTTAAGGTAGTAGGCTGTGCAAAAAACCAAAACAAAAGTAAAGAAAAAAATTATAAAATTAATTGACTTTTTATTTAAAATATTAAAACTATTTGGGTTTAGGTTTTTTCAACTTAATGGAAAATGGCAATTGATTCAAGCTGATAAGATTTGCAATAGCAATAAATCTATATAAATAAGAAGGCAAAAGCTTACTTTAGTTCAGGAAGCTGTAAACAACAAGCACAATGCTTTGATCTTGTTATTGAAAAATTTTTGGAAAATGTCAAAGTAAACTTTTAAAAGTGCTATGACTTAGCTCAAAAATTCCAATTGCTTAGTCACTACAGTGCTATTCAGAATTTCTGAGTGTAAGACTTATCGATGCATTATAAATATTCTGTTCATTTAATGAAAACGATAGAAGAACTAACAAAATAAAATTTTATTATACAGCCCAATGAAGAGAACGACAGAGAAGAGAAATGGTGTGAGCTTTCAAACGTATGCATGCAGGAATTTTTTTTTCTGTCTTCTCATTATTAAGTCTTTTTGTATGTTTTTATGTCAAGTTATTGAAGCGTAATGTTGCACTGGAACAAATTCAATTTAATTGCAAAATGTGTTGGTTTAGAATTCCGTGCATAGTTTCTATTCTGTACACAGGCGTTCCCCTGTTAACACGGTACTAGTAAAGCACGGTTTCGATACAACACGATTCCGAGAAATCAAATGTGCGCTTTTCTATTGGTTTTTGCTTTCATTTTTATTTTACCCTTAATACGAACAGTTTCAGCCAACGTTGAGAAGAATGAATAAATTAGCTGTGATTTTTTGATGAAAATTAATTTGATGATCGTCATCATATTATTTGAATTATGTTTTTGCTTTTTTTTTTCTATGAAAACGCATTTTCATAATGAAATATGGATCGACACAACACGGTAAACGCTGCATTAATTTACGTTATCTTGAGGCATGTTATAACACGGCTTTGATACAAGACGAATAAAGTTTCGATACAACACGATGTATATTTTTTTTATTTAGATTATATCCATTTCCATTTACTCTAAATCATATTAGATGATCTTTTATCATTAATTGTGTACGTCTCAGTAAACCGATTGGAACTACTTTCGGACTTAACATGAAGGTGATTTTAATGAACCTACGGGTCATAGGCGTTCGAAGATATCTTCACGGGATCGAAAGTTGTAGCGGAAAATAGAAAAAAATGGTCGATGTTTTTCGAGGTTGCTTTAGTTTTTCGTACATATTGGACCGGATTACCCCTATTTTTTAACCAAACATTCCTAATTGACTAGGAAATATTTGCACGAAATTCCAGCTTCCTATAATTATTTTTGCGACTATGATGGCCCACAAAACTTACCCATCAAATTGAAGAGGTTCGCTAAAATAGATACATACAGAACGTCGAAAAATCTAGTGTTAAATAAAAAAGTAGAAACGCTTCGTGTAACACGGGTTCGTTACAACACGATACGAATTAACCGTGTTAAGCAGGAGATACCTGTACACTATGAAATATTAGAAAAAAGCTTGTAGACACATCCTAGTCGGGCAACGCCGTCTTTAAATGCCCTTTATCATTGTCATTCACTCATTTTTGTGATAATACACCAAAGATTATAATCATATTTCTTACGTAAAAGCGTTCTTTCCATGAAATCCTTCATAGTGGCGGATGCTCCATACGTCAACTAATACAGTCCAAATTTAGAAAATATAATTTATTTGACAAAAATTGTCTTTCGTCTTTGCTTTCGTCATAAAACACAAAGATATACTGCAAACTAGAAATTAGACCCTGCCGCGACAGAAAATCTTGCTTTTCATGAGATCTACTATATATCGTGGGGCCTAAAATCCATCTAATCGAAATTCGGTTTACTATGGACGAACTTTCATCAAGAAATTATTAAAATGTAGCCTTTTTAGTGTAGAAAGATTCAGCCCTCGTAGATAGGGTTATAAGAGAGGAAATTCAAAAAACTGACCAGTTTGATTACAAATTTGTCACACCAACTTAAAGTATCGAAATACTATCACTTAGCGATTTTTTCGTGAAAATCTGCAAATCATAATAATGCCTTATATATAAAGACTGTCCGAAATAAGGCGTTATATAGGGGGCATTTGAAAAAGTGATCAGATCCGAACAATTTCAATGGACGTCATGGTTGGGCCAAAACACATCAGTGTAACTCCCTATTTTATGCCGTGTTATTATAAGGCTTAGCAATAGTTTTCGGTATAGTCGTGAAACATAAAACTCGTATCTAGATTTACTACTCCATTCAGTTTTTTTTACTCTTCTACACCAAGCTGACAATAGGCTTTTAATTTCTTGTGGCAAAACCATGAAAAGACAGATTTCTGCTGCGAGTTGAAGATTTAGAACGATCCTTATTGGCATTAAAAAAGAGTTGCTTGATCAAAACAATAGAATGGTTGTCAGGTAGGCTTCACCCTATCTGGGCAGCGCGTCTATATAATGCATTTGAATCTGCTTTGTGGTAAAAATACACGTAAAGTTCATAATATGTAAATATGAGCGAAGCGTTTGCCAGACTAAGCTGATTTTCAGAATTGACCTCAAAGTTTTTTTAGCGAAAAGTTCTGAAAACAAAAATAAGAACTTGAGACCTGGCTTACTAATCGTAAATACAAATATTTCTCTATTCAAGTCCGTTCAAATCCATTAGTACGCATTACAAACCTTAAAATATCTAAAGTAACCTCTTTCACGAAAAAGGAAAGCGAAATCAAAAATACTGTGATTCTTTAGGAAATATAGATAACAAATAAAAAGTTTGGCAAGCGGAGTGCACATTAATTTTTCATAACTTGATATGCTTGCGAGCAAGTAGAATTTCCTAATTAAATAATGAAGAAGAAGATAGTAACGGAAGCCGTGCTCCATCAATATGAACAATTGCGAATCAGAAGGCGCCTTGTCTGGTGAGCATGCCAGATGCAGCAGAAGCTCCGAATCGTTGCAAAAGTGCATTGTTAACAACTCTTGCAACGTTCAGTCAAAATCGCATATTCAGTTAATGTGCGAGCCACTAACCATTTTTCCTGCTTTTGGATCTTCCCTATCGCATCGTTTAAGTCTAGAAATAATGAATTCATAATTTGGAAAGCTGTTCGAAGGTCTATTAAGACTTTTATCAGGGTTTTCGTCCAATAAGTCTTGCAATTCACTGTTTTGGAGCTTTTTTGGTCCTCCAGGCCTGTTTTCGCCACTGACATCAAAATCACCACTTTTAAAACGTTGAAATCAAAACTGACAGTTGAGACATGGTGTAACATCATCACCATAAACTTCTGAAAGTGTTGGGTAGGCTACATCAGCAGACTTCTTCGAATCAAACAACAAAAGCAATGTTGTCGAAAATGTAACTTTGAGCGTTCTATGATTAGCGTCCGCATACGCTCAACAAATCAATAATATTAAATGGAAAACTGGTGTTTTATATACAGGAAGGTCAAAATAATCGTATTTAACCCTTATGTACGCTCGCACTTTCTATTTCTTTATAATTTTTGCATGTAGAAGTTGCCTATCAAAATGAACGCAACCACCTAAAATTAAGGTTATTTTTGCAGTGGATGTAGATAAGTTTAAAGAATCTGCGGCGAAGGATTGAATTTTCTTTACGATGTTCGTCTTATAATATTATTTTATATATGTAATATATTCATGTTTAGGACGAGGGAGTGGTTCAAGAAAAGATTTTTCGTGGATAGACGGCCTTACCTTAGATGCTTACAGGGTTCTAATTTACCAAGCAAAGTCTCATAACTCTCTGATTACGAAGTGCACCTCGTTAGCATGGCTCCGTGGACTATTTTTTTATTTATATTGTTTCATTATATTTAATCCGTATAGATATTTAGGTAGAAATTCTTTCCTTATCTAAAGTTGTTAATATTGCGTTAAAGCTGAAAGGCTTGACATATTTTAATTATTTCCGCAATATAAAATAACTAGAATTCCATAAATTGGGAATTGCCATTCAACATGTGAAGCTGCTTTTGCTGAATTCCCACCATTGCACATCTGTATTGAGTCATTCAATAGCAAGGGATACTCCTCTCTTAATCCTGTTGTTGAAAATAAAATATTATTAGTGCCTTGCCTTTAAAGGAGATTAATATAGCCTACCGTCATATGGTGATGAAGCAGTATAAGTTCCCTCTTTCAAGACTTGCAATTCCTCAGTATGAATCACATTATAGATCCATGTTAAATGATATTCCAGATTGGTGTAATAGCTTTGTAGGATCTTTTGCGAGCAATTGAAATTGTTTGCATTGGGCATCGGCAAAATTGTTGATAATAAACCAACTAAATGGTTTTTACATAACAATCCTATACCACGATCGATATTATAACGACGGGCGAAATCGTCGAAAGTCTAAACGTTTTTTAATCCATTAATTCATTATAAAGTATAAAAAATATAGTCACTTGGGAAAGTTTTTTTAAATAAAAACTACATATCGTTATTATATAAACACTAATATTCAATCTACTGTTAATTGTAGAATATCTATTTGTTCTAAATAAATAGCAATAATAATAATAATGAGTAGTCAATTAATGGATATTTATCCCCGAAAAAAGAAGGATTGCTAATTACTATATAAGATCAAGTAATGAACGCGTCATTCTCTAGACAATCTTTTGTTGATTAGGCCTGCACAATTGATTCTCATAACATTGGCCATATTGCATCAGCAAATTAGCTTTAATCTCCATAATTAGTTAGTAATAAATGGCGTAAGAAGTTCTTTCGATTTTGAAGCGAAGATCCTTGATAATTTCTACATAATGAAGAGTTTGTATCTGGCGCTCATAAGACCTGTTTAACAATATGCATCAGTTGATTTAACTTTGGGAAGCCCCTTCGCAGCAAATCGCTTAAGAGAGGCTCGGAAAATTTTGATAGGAGTTAAATTTATATATTTTTCCAAGAAAACTTACTGTGCAATGAAAACCGCATGGCAACATATAAAGTGAGCAAATATCGTTTCTTCGAGCCAAGGGAAATTGGGAGATACTGTGACACTCAGAATTAGGTAAAAGCGGCAGTTGTTCCGTTCGCGTATGGATTGGAATTTTAGTCAATTTCTGAAAATTAAATTTTAAAAAATTTGAATTAGAATAGACCTTTATATTACAAATTAAACACATCAAGCTGGACACTATTTTTTAGAACTAGCACTTTTTTCCGTACATACCATTAGTTAATAGACTAAGCGTATTAGTTGTTACATAGGAGAACTTTAAGAAAATTACCCTTTACAAGCTTTCAATGTTTCCAAATCTTCCAAAAATATTAAACGATATTCTGGAAACTGGTTCCGCCTTTCGATTGATTTATATGCATATGGTGAACGTTTCGAAATATGATTCGAGTAAAACTGAATTAACAGACCCCCCAAAGCGTGAACTTCATTAACTTAGCAAAGGTTTCACAACTACGTCATCAAACCCAATTTTGATATATGCATGAAAACTATGCGACAAAAAAAACGCTAATATTTAAGCTCAATTAATTCTAGAGAAAGCAAGCAATCTAAAAAATCTGATAATGACGGTAAAGTTGTCTATTATCTTCTATTCTATTCTATTATTATCTATTGGGAATGGTTATGTTTTTATTTCCTCTCGCTTTGGAGACCTAATATATTTAGACTACCATACATACATTTTTCTTTGCCACTTACATTTCTGAAGTAAAAATTTGCTAAACATGGTCTATCAGCATTATCGATATCGTCCAAAATGACCCACTTAAGGTCGTTACGTATGCCCAAAGGCAAATTGCTGTTTAAACGCAGAATAGCCAAATCATTCTCATTAGTAGTGACATTGAATGAGTTGGCTATGATTATATCAAGCACTTGAACTGTAAGATCACTGGCAAAGTCGCTAGATGTGCCGGCGATAATAAATAATTTATTGGATTGGAACGGTTCGGCCGCACTCTCGGCTGTAAGTTGGTAATGAATGCAAGACGCTATCGTTAAAACGAGTCGGCACTGTATTATCACGCCATTACATACGAGCACCGGAGGTCCATTTTGATTGGAATTTAAATAAATGGACACCTGATACGCCGGTTGTTCGGAAAGGTAAAGCTTTGCGAACACAATCACATAAACAAAAAAAGAATGTATGAACTTTTTCATCTCATCAGTGTAAAATAAAACAAGGTTTCAAAAATACAAAAGGGAAAAAACTTGCTTAAAGTCGTGCACGGTTTAACTGAAAAAAAAGAAAATTTAACGAAACGCTTAACATTTTTTCTTCGTATTTAGAATGAATTCCAGCATGAAATCTTAATATATTCTTATCGTTGTTCAACTGTGAGATAAAGTCATGTCATGTCATGTTTAAGCTAACATTGTAACATTTTAATATCAGTTGCACTCTACTTTAAATCTACTTTGTTGCATAATTCAAGGTATTAACTGAAAAGTGATTTCTACTTGAAAATAGTATCAAGTGCCTTAAATCAAATTCTATGTATAAATAAAAAGTAAATTATTTTGTCAAAGTTTTACAGTAAACTTCAAATAATTCAAAAAAACAGGAACTCATTGCGTCAAGTGGATAGAGCAATTTATGAAGATTATATTAAATTTACGCATTAATCTGAGGATGGATTACAATTCAGAATAAAAAAAGCTTAAGCCGACAGATGGGATTTTATGACTAATACGTATTTCTATCAAGATGGTGGTTATAACGAGTTAGACTATAGAAATGCATACATTTTGAGAGACCCGAGTGATTATACTATACAAATTACTATTATACTATACAAAATTGTCTGAGTCTATGCTATTCCAACTAAGGAACGTAAAAGTATTTTTGCGGCAAAGGAAAAATTTATGATAAATTGTTTACGCGACGGTTCAAGCTTTGTGTTGGAGGAGTTCTGGCAAACAGCTTCTAGGGCGATACCTTATGCCCAATCGCTTATATTAAATAATAAAAACTTTCAAAACACTTCCAAGCAGACATCGAGGTGAATGTGAGGTCTGGCCGGCTTATCAAAAAGTATAAAAATGCGCAAACAATCATAGAAATTGTTCTTCGTCTCTAAAATCATCATTATTTGCTAAGAAAAAAAATTTTTTATGGATCATAGAAAGCGATTTTAATTATTGTTTTGAAGAAGAAACGTGTGATAGTGTGATAATATTCTAAACTGATGGGTTTCGCAACATTTCGTTTGTCTTCTGCCAACAAATATTTCGTTCATTCACATTTTCTAAGCTTAAAACGATTTCCAAAGAACTGCGTTTACCAATGGTAGGTAAATTTACGCAGTAATTCTCAACTAAGCTTAACATACCGGAAGACGTGTATTCATAGTCGACTTTACATGCATCTACAAAATTTCTCTTAAGGTTTTAAGCCAGATTTACATTCGTCAGAACTTTTTCACAATTCTTTGCAGATTTTCAGAAATGATCGATTGGATCATACTGGTGGTGGTATTTTAATTGCCATATCATATCTGCTGCAATTCCGTTCTATTCAATTGAATTTCTTACTTCTTCCGACGTTGAATTTATTGCCATTCGGGCGAAAATGGCCAATAAACAGTTATACGTAACTCGCTCCTATATTCCCCCAAATGCGGATATCTCTGTTGATAAGAAGCACGCTGCCCTCATAGCATTAGGGGACTTCAATTTGCCACAAGTCACTTGATGTTATAGTGCTAGTTCTGGCTGTATGGTCCCCACTTCAACATTTGATAGAGCTATTGTGTTCTGGAATGAATTACTTGATCGTAATTTACTTCAATACAACTGCACTTCTAATTGGGCTGACTAGTATGATTTATGATGTCATTTCAAAGATTTTTAATCGGTCGTTGATATCAGGTGTGTTCCTTTTCTGTTGGAAGAGTACTTTCCTTATTCCGTTTCACAAAGGTGGAAACAGATATCACGTTGAGAACTGTAGAGACATCGCCATGTTAAGTTTCTCACCTAAATTGTTTCAGCAAATTATTACTCAGCATTTAGCTTTTGCTATCAAATCTTACATTTCTCCATTCTAGCATGGCTTTCTAAAAGGAAGATCAACTGTCACGAGTCTCTTAGAGTTTACTTTTTCAGTACTGTCTCTAGCGGCACTTGCACGGATGTCGTCATGATCTTAGTAAAGCGTTTGACTTAGTTAACCACTTTTTCAAACTCCAGGCCCCTGGCGTCCCATTGCACTTAATGAAACGGATAAGCTCTTATCTGCATAATAGATTATTGAGGTTATATAAGCTATACTTGTGCGTACTCAGTTCGACCAATACTTGAGTATACCTCTGTTTTGTCGTCTCCTTCCTATAGATGTTATGTAGATTCAATTGAATCCGTTCAAAACCAATTCTTGCTGTTTGCCCTTAGGAATATGCTTTGGGAACCGCTTATCTCCTTGCCTCCTTATGAAAATCGGTTGCTTCTGTTATCCTTCTCTTGAGAAACACTGTTACTCTTCTCGGTATCTCCTTCTTAGTCAAGTTAATTGATGGCACTATCGATTCGTCCACATTACTTGGTGAGATAAGCTTTAATGTACTCAATCACTTCTAGGCACTTTATTTTCATTAACCTGGGTCAATGTAAATATACTTACGAACTTTATAACCCATTTAGGGTTTTTTGCAGAAATTTGAATGATGCTTATCGCTTAATTTCAATATCGAGTTGTTTAAAGTTTATCAAAACAACTAGGCTTAATACGCGCGATTTGCCTATGTGGTACTAATTTTTAACCTTAATATTTCATTTCATTACTTTATCTGTTGCCAAGCTCTTGCATATTTGAAATGGCTTATGGGTTTACTTGCTACTTGGATTGTTTTGGGGGTGCCTCCTTGCTTTTTGTGTCCATGTTTTTTTTCTTTCTTATTTGTTTAGATATGAATTATTATTTAATACTTTTTTCACTCGCATTGTTTGTATGCCGCAAAGAAATTAAACTTTCCTCAAAAAATTTTTAGCAATTTTGATCTTAAATCTCCGTGGGTTTTGAACGGCTATTCTAATGGACATATCGCTTTTTATTTACAAGGATGCTTAAGATTACGTCTTTAGGAATGTGGTTGAAGCAAAATCTAAAACACTGGAATGTGACGGTTGGCTTAATCCTTATACAGGCGGCTCCAAATCTAACGGTGTGCCGCCTACCTATGCCGTGATAAATGCCTCAGGACCAGTTTTGCTTAACCACATAGTTCACGAAAGTGCTTTGCCTTTCACAACCGTACCCACCCTCAAGCTATCCTCAAGCTGTGAACCTTGCATATAAAAACAAACTCACAACTTGGTTGTAGCTTCTAGTCTCTCTGTGTTAAAAGTTATGCGGAATCCCTCGACTGTTAGCTGGAGCAATATAAAACAATTAAGATCTCTTTTCCAAGAGTCGGTGACCCGACGGTGCTCAATTTGTTTTTAATTAGTCAAAGAATTTATTTCCTTAATTCAAAAATGTTATAATAACAATAATAATTTAAAGTATAAGTAACTATATCATAATAATTATCTTTTTTTGCAATAAAATACTTTGTTTTGTTAGAAATATATTTTTTTCGCAAATAATGTTATAGAATTATCTTCCAATTGAGACAACTGTCGCGGGAATTGAAACTTTAATATGCTTATTGTTATGTAAATGCTATACAAAATTAAGCAAACACTTTACTGGAAAATGGAAAATTCTCATCTTTTGATCAAATCTCATATAGATTAGAAAAAATCTTTATTTGTCATGTATAAAGCAATTTCCGACAGTTAGTATTTTTGCAAAAAGTCTTATTTTTTTTTTTATTCTATTTCAAAGGGGTTACACCATTTGAAAAAGAACACCGAATAAGTAATATTTATATAAAAATGCTCAACTTTAATCCCAATTTAGTATAGAAAATAATTCTTCAGCGTACGCGACACAGTTTCAACGGTATATAGTTTTAAACAAATTTTGAAAGAATGTTTGTCAGCTGCTCGCTCAATTATTAGATACTTGTCAACGTCTATAACTGTACTTAGATTAAATAGGCTCTCAGTATTTGAATTTTTTTCATTTGTACCATGTGGAGAATCATCTAAATAACCTTGTTTATCAGCGTCGCCATCGTTTTGTTCTTTGTTATTGTTATTGGCAGCATTATCGATTAATTGCGAAACCTTCGGCTCAGCATTTTCTTGGGAAATAATGCTATTGTACATATCCAATAGTAGAAGAACAGGGTATTCGTAAAAATAGTTATGCGGATATACTGTCCTCAGATAGTGGTTTACACACTTGCCTAGCAATACTTCAGGCATATAATGGTTGTATAATTGAAATAGATGGGCCATCAATATTCGTAAATGACTAAACCAGAGCCTTATAGAGTTCAAAGTACCTCTGACGAGTTCTGTAGCATGTTTTCTGAGAGAAAGAAAGGAAAAAAGCGAGGTATGAGATATTGTTTTTACTGGCGATGTTTTATTTCGGGAGAAATAATTGAACAAGTTATCTCTCAAAAACGGAATGTGGGCAATAATCGATAAATTACATTGTGTCCATTAAAGTCAAAACTGTTTTGATAAGATGTCGAACTTTAACTTACTTACTTTTAAGTCAATACGTTTATGCACCGGTTTAAATCGCGTTTGATTTCCACCTTCGTTATATACTGACGCGATAACTAACTCTTAACTTCCCTTAGCATATACTATTGTTTTGAAAAACCATCCGCTTACATGTCTTCTGTTTAGTGTCGTTTTGCCTATTACTTTTTTCTGATATACATAGACACGTGTCTGATTATATATAAATTTCGCTTTTTAATTAATAGATTGTTCGAGTTAGCACAAAATATGCTAGAAGAGAAAATGCTGTACAATTTCCTTAAGATAGAGAACTGGAAATATATACTGCGATATTATAAATTTGTAGAGAAATTTCAAAGGCAAATTGTATCAAAATTCAGATTAATGCACAGGTCAAATGGTAATAGGACTCAAATAAACTTTCGATTTGATCGACATCATTAGTGAGTGTCTTGGAGATGCAAGCTCCGCAAATTAATTCTGCAAACCATCCTTGGTACAGGCTTTTCCTTATAGAATTTTTCTTTCGCAAGAAATACATCTTTTCTTTTTGCGGGTATAGAACGCCTGTTCGGTTTTATCATGTTTTTAGTACTGGGTGAATAAGTCAGTGAGCGTCCTAAACGTTGAAATGTTAATGAAGCGTCGTTTTGTTTACACTTTCAACACAAACGTTCCTTATAGAGTGGCGATTAAGTTTTTTTAACACATACTCTGCAAACTGAAGGAAAGCATTTCATAGCATTTTCATAGCTTCGGATACAAACCGATATAAATAAACGAAATGTATGACTTCAAAAAAGGACAAACAGACATAGCAGAATAGTTGGGAATGTTTCGCTAACCAGTTTAATGCGTCTTTTCCATTGTTTACGAATGAGCGACTTAATGCGGCTCTTCACCGATTCTACCAGCACAAAAAAAAAATTCGGTCTTATAGTTAGTAGTAACTCACAGTTGCTGTAATTGCTTGATATGTTCAGTTTTGAAATTTTCGGCAAATGTGATCGATATCTCTCGTATTCCCACGAGCAAATGACGTAGACCTAATAGAAGTGTTGAACGGGTTGTTTCGGCAAATGTTCTGAAAATTTCAAAACAATATAAAGTATATTTTTCAGACGATAAAGTAATATATTACTGATTATATGTTTTACTTTCCACGACACTTGGCAATAAGTATTCAAGAGTTTCGGCAAATTTAGCAACTCCTTTAAAAAACCATTTCACGTCATCTATTAGCGCAGCATCCACAATCGTTCTATATTTTAGAAAATTGAAATAATTCAAGGCATAAAGCTGAATTGCGGGGAGAAGTATAAAAACATTACCTTTCTTGTTTACTCGGAAGCCTGTTGCTGGCGCTTGTGGAACAAGAAACGATGTTTAGATAACATATAAAAATGTAGCAAATTATTACAGAAAACTTAATCATAGCGTTCTTGTAGGATTGATAGTCTGTTAGCAACTAAGTACTTGAAGGAAATCGTACATACTATTTTTGCGAACGGCAGAATGTTTGCCACACATCCTACTCTATTTGCCTGTGCTGCCTATTATGTGTTAAATGTGCTAACGACTGTTCTTACCTGTAGTAAAAGATAGATTTCAAGGTTGCTTTCATTATATACCTAATTCAGAGCGCAATTATGCCGTTTCTCCTTGAAAATAACAGTTTTGCCTAGAAAAACATAAATCAAAGAAAAGGATAAAACTGTGGAAACATTATTTTGCATTTTGGTTACATTATTACTAATTTTCGATCATAAAATTTATTCTCATTATGATATTTTTTTTAACTATGAAAGAGAACTGGTCTTCTTAACATAGTAATTGACTAAAGCGTAATGTTTCCTGTAGCAATATATACGAACTGTGGAAAAATATTCATGAAGTATGGTGTAATATCCCAGTAAAGACTTGCGATAATTAATTTCACCCAGGTCTATAAACATCGAAGATGGCCTTAAAAACGGCTATTGACTGTCTGAATTGATTTCTCTAAAAATGATTACTATAAAATACAGACTAGTGGGTTACTTTTGAGTCTTTGCATATAAACGTACGTTACTGTCCACCTGGAAGCATGCGATATTTTTTAACTGAACTTCTTTAACGTTTTTGCTTACATTTAATATAACTCTAAACTTATCTGAATCCTATTTTACAACATTAAAAAGTTAGTTGATGTTGTAAGCTCGCATACATTAATTACTTTACTGCTAATTTTTTCTAAAATATTTCCGAAGATATAACGACGATGACTACTTCCAATTCCAGATCAAAAACTTATTATTCCAGATCAATAGCTTAGTTTCAACAATAAACGTAACAACACTATTGTCCAACGTAATCGTGCTTTTTCATATATCAGCGAAGGAATCGAAAGAAAAAATAAATAAAGTTAGGGATGATGGGCTGCTTTTCAAGCTGAAAAAATTTTTGGCTTCTTCAATGTGACGTTTAAATATCATTGTTAAAATATTTCTGTTTTAGAATCAAAAATGATAGATGTAATGTATCAAAAATTGAAGACGGACCACCCCAGGCATGCCCAATACCTTTCTCAATTTACACTTCAAATTTTGCAAACACTAACTGTATTTTAAGCTTGACTATTTTCGTCTATTGATTCTATGAATGTTTCCCACGAACTACGAAATTTATCTCAATAAAATATCACTTTGGCTGAAGAAATGGAATAATAAAATTAATGCTAAAAAATCTCCGTTTTTGAATTGCAACAACATCCCCATCAACAACTGTGTAAAGTTCATTTATAGCAGCCTTTGTTGAGCTACGCATGCAATCGGTTTCTTCTACCATTCATTTAATATCACGTTCTCTTTCATCCCATATTTTAAGATTTTCTTGAAGGTCTTTGGCATTGGATTCTTAATTTTAATTTTAATCAAGCTTTCGCTGACGCTGTCTACGTGATGGTCAGGCCATACCGGAAAATCTTTATTAGCTGCCTGATGCAGCAAACGTTGACTACGATTAATAGACGCTATTATTTCTTTGACCGACTTCCTTTTCTCGAGCAGTATATTTGTTTCCAGGGTAGCCAAACTTGATTTTTTCCCTTCTAAGAGAGACGACGGTTTCGACCGATACAAAGCATCAAATTCTTCTCTTTCTGTATCAAGACTATTCTTCCTTTGCGGCTCCCCCTGCTCGATATTTTCTTTTATTTTTGTAGTAGAATTTTCAACAATTTTTAAATCACTACCCAAAGTCACCGTTGCGCCCATTATGGCATCCGGGCGCTGAAGTTCATTTGGATGATTTTCTTGACAATGGTCATTTATAGAAATTTATTTATTTATTTTATTCCACTTATACTAGAAACTCAACTAAACAAGTAACAGTCGAGTTCAATAGGCTCTTAATGCAAAACTAATATCAATTAACAATAAAATTGAGTATAAGCATAATAAAACAAATAAGAAGAGAAAAAAAAAAAGAAAAAGAAAAAAGAAAAAAAAGCATGTACACTATCAGCATAGGAGCACACTTACAACCGGTACAGGACCAAATTGCAAATGAACCCCTAAGCCATCGCAAGCATGCATAAGCCTGGCAACCGATAATAAATTAACAATAATTCACTTTCGAAACGTAACGACTTTTTAAGGATGAAAGCTAGTTTAAATACGACATAGGTAAATCGCGCGTATTAAGCAATGTTGCTTTAATGGACTTTAAAGAGTCCGATAACGAGAATAAGTGGTAGACGTCATTTAGGTTCTTGCAAACGACTCTGAGCGGATTGAACAGCTCATAATTAAATTTGCACTGATTAAGCTTTACCAAGATAAAGTGCCTAGAGAAGCGGTTAGGGACATTGAAGCTTACTTCACCAAGTAATGAAGGCGAGTCAATAGCACCATTTATTACTTTAATTAGAAAGGAAACGCCAAGAACAAATCTACGTTTCTCAAGAGACGGTAGGGACAGCAGAAGCAACCTATTTTCATACGGAGGAAGAGAGGCAATCGGATCCCAACCCAAATTTCTAAGGGCAAACAGCAAGAATTGCTTTTGAACTGATTCAATTGAATCTACGTAGCACCTATATGAAGGAGACCACACAACTGAGGCATACTCGAGTATGGGTCTAACCAAACACATGTACAGCCTTTTCGTAATGTAGGGATCATCAAGCTCTTTGGACCACCTTTTTATAAAACCAAGCGCGGACCTAGCTTTGCTAATCGAGAGCTCAATATGCAAGTTAAAACGTAACCTATGGTCAAATAGGACGCCTAAATCCGTAATCGAATCGACGTCCTCCAACTTATGCGAATCTATGAAATACTGAGTAATGAATGACTTTCTTCTTGAGAATGAAAGCTTCTTACATTTACTCAGATTTAGTTGCAGGAGATTCAAAGAGCACTATGCAACAAAATTATCTAAATCACCTTGAAGCTGATGTGATTGCGATTCAACAGAGAAGGAAGAAAACAGTTTCACATCATCAGCATACATTAAGATCTGGCTGGAATTAACCACCGATGGGAGATCGTTAATGTATAAACTAAATAAAATGGGACCCAAGTGACTTCCTTGAGGTACGCCAGACGTAACGGGAATTCATCCGAGCTAATGAAGTTAAACAAAACTCTGAAGGATCTATTGTGCAGATAAGAGCTTATCCATTTCACTAAGTAGGGTGGGAAACCAGAGGCTTGGAGTTTAAAGATAAGTAGTCTATGGTTAACCAAATCAAATGCTTTGCTTAAATCAGTGTAAATAACATCTGTGCGAGAGACACTAGAAAAAGCCTTGAAAACATGACAGGTAAACTCTAACAAGTTGGTGACTGTAGATCGCCCTTTCCGAAAGCCGTGCTGGTGCGGAGAAATATACGAATTAATGGCAAAGGCTAAATGCTGAGTCACAATACGCTCGAACAACTTGGGCAAGACACTCAACTTGGCTATGCCTCTGTAGTTCTCAACAAATTGTCTACTTCCACTCTTGTGGATAGGAATAAGGAAACTACTCTTCCAACATGAAGGGAAAACACCTGAACACAAGGACATGTTAAAAATCTTTGAGATCACACCACACAACTCGACAGCGCAAGATTTAAGTACACATGATGGAATTCCATCAGGTCCAGGCGAACAACTGTATTTTAGAGAACTTAACCCTTTGAAAACATCATCTTCCGAAATAACCAAGTTAGGTATAGAAACCGAGTTAGTTATAGGATATGGGTAGTTTGCTGATAACTCAAAATTAGCAATCGAAAAGTTTCGTCGGAAGCATATTTACGCTTTCTTACAGAAGGTATGACTCTCGTTCGATACTTGCGGTTCATACACAATGTTTCAATATTTCAACATTTTATGTGTAATAGCGAATATCTTATCAAATTTATCGTTAAATAAATTGCGTGCATACGAGAGTAAGCGTATAAAAATTGCGTGCATACGAGAATAAGCGTATATGTATATATATATTGATTGAAAACGCCATTTTGCACCGTTTCAACATAGTAGTTTTATTGCTTGCCGGGCAAAAAAATAACGTTTTTTTTTTGGTATGTTGTGACTGGCGATGAAAAGCGATTCTACTACGACAATGTCTAGCGCAAGTAGTAATGGCTTATTCTGGGAGATTAGGGATTAATAGATGCATTGTCATTCCGTTGCTTGATAACGCTCGGCCACACGTTACACGAGTTGTCAAGGTTGCAACTCAAGCGGGATATAAAGAATTTTGAATCAAAACATTTCTTCAAAATATGCTCTCAGAGTGGATAATCACATAAATTGCTTGGCAAGGTCTCTTCTAGATGCATCCAATGAAATAAGAATATAACAAATGCAGCAGCGCGCGTATTTGATGTAATTGACGCAATCGGCCCACTTGGTAAATCAAAGCAAAGCATACAGCTATGAGGGAATTTTTGAAATCCGGGAACTTTTTCAAGTGATAAATCCATTACCTCAACAGCACATCGCCACCAAATATTGTGTGCCATTGAAATATCACACCAAACTTTTAATCAACTCTAATATTCTAAATAAAACAATTTGGGATGAATTGTTAAAATATTTTATAAAATATTTTATATAAAGAAGTGAAGCATAGACTTTAGATAGCACAACAACGGTTTGCGAAAATGTTGAATTCAAAAAATGTAAATAAAAACTCATTCGATTTTATCTTATTCTCATAAACGTAGAGTTTTGACTCAAAATATTTCGGAACATAAATTAGACAACTCATTTAAAAAACTTTGCTATGTTAAAAAAATCGATTTTGTTACTTGGAGGCCATAAAAAAACTAAAGCGCCTGAATTGTTAAATAAATTATATTTTACTATTATTTTTTAATCACATTATTTTCTTTTAAATGTATATCTAACTAACTGTATATCCAGCTAACAGCTACAGAATTAAATTGAGTAAAGGATAACGACATATTATGCAAAAAATATGAATTCCTAGTACTGTAGATAGTCATTTTTTTAATTGCAATTTTAGTATTTGTACATTCGAGACTTTGAATAACATATATTAACGCTCAATCCAGGCCAGGCGACAACCTATACCGAATTTATTCAGTGCAACAAAAATGTGTAACCAGTTATATATATATTTAAGTAATTTGATATAAGAATAATAAGTCATGAAGATACTTTTAATAAACTAATTCTAAGCTGGATACGAATCAGAACAGCTTTATAATTAGGTTCTTTATCTTGGGTGGTTTACCTATCATGGCGATTTGACAGATTTTAAGCAGAGTCATTGGCCTTTTTCTTAGACATTTGCACTGTATTCCAAATCCTCATGAGCTCTGTGTTTTTCACATTGTAATGTTTTTCGACGTATACTTATGGACTATTTTCGCAGGTAAGCGTAAGTATTACTTGGCAATACTGGAGTGAGCTGGTACTCTGTTAATATTGGTGGGAACAAGCCGTGTACTTCTTGATGACGTATGTCTTATGTATTGTTGGCTGGGGAGCTGTTTCAGTTGGTATGGTTTGCGGTATTATATATGTGTCTACGGTACACGTCTGTCGTCGTAGACTGCTTGGCTTACACTGTTTGAATAAAATAAATAAATAAAAGCAAATAATTTAATTACAGTAATAATAATAGAAGACAAACACTCAGGATTTTTCTATGCAAAGAAACGACGAATGTGCCAAAGGAATCCGACATTTCAGTACATCTGGACACTTGCAAAGGCGTACTGATAGTTATAGCAAGAATCAAGACCTTTATATTTATAAAAGGAAGCTTATAGAGTCATTCCACGCTCTAAAACATAAGGTATAAAAGGCAAGAGAATTTAACATTCATGCAACAAAATTATCATGTCCTGTCATGTTTCAAAAACATTACATATATAAAAGAAGACATTTCTCTAGCCACATTTGCGTAAGAAAATATGCTAAAAAGCACCAATAAAAACTACTACTAGTTCTCTGAATTATCACCATGTTTCAAGTCGTACTCATAGATATCACGCAATTAATACAAAAAACTGTACACTACTTCGCGCGATAAAATGTTGGTTATGGTAAGAGCATTAAGAGGCCGCTTGATGATACCAACCTTTCTTCGCTCAAAAATGAAATGGTCAGCTGATTCTGCCCTGCGACTGGTCACACAATGAATCATGTCTATTCATATATAATATACGAATACAAAATTAAAAAATGATCCATGTAATTCAAATACTCCAAGCACCGTTATTTTTTCTTAAATTTTCAAAAATGAAAATTTCATTTTAATCTAAATTGCACATTTCCACACCGATTACAACTCTAGCTGAAGATAGGGACAAGGATACTTATGCGCGTACAGTGAAGTTAAGCAGTTATCAATAGAGGTAAAATTTGATTATTTTAGAATTATCTGATTCCATTATACTTCGCAGAACCCAATCCAACTTATTAGAAACTGCTTCAAAAGAGAACTTTCGTTGTACTCGCCTATTGCACATGACTCCCATACGTTAGCAGAGGGTTTTTTCTGTGTACAGCCCTCATTGCTCGAGCAAAAGAGTCTATTTCAGGTTCCCATAAAAAGCTTGTCCAATCTTGAACTATTATCTCCGTAGGACCTATTGGTTACATAGCTGTAACTGGCTTTGACATATACATCCCTTCCAAAGGTACAGTGCCGATATGTTCATCAACAGGGGTGTACAGTAAGAATTGAGCGCGGCAAAAAAGCTGAAATTTTCCAACATCACTTGAAGAACGCAACAAAATAGCCTTTTCTGTTAACTTTAACCCAGATATCAAATCATTCAATTCACCGATAGATTTCCACATTTTGATTTACTCTTTCATCGTAACCGCCAGTTATAACGGTAACGTTTCCAGATAAGGTGCGAGACAATATGTCAAAAGAGTGAACAGTCAATGAATGATTCTTTTTTCTCTTGAAACGATTAATGTCTAAGTGTGCATAACAATCATTTGGCAAATCCAAACGATGGATTGTAAGAATTGAAAAGTACAACGCTTCAGGACTGATACTTAGTCGTCGGAAAGTCTTCTGAAATACTCTTAGAGTAAACTTTAAATTCACGAGAATTTTTTCGGTCGTACCTATAGTGAATTCTTCTAAAATATCAATTGGCCAACGGTATAAACTCTTGAAGTAAACCCCTTTTTTGCTTAATAAGTGATCTGGAAAATGGCAATCGATTATTACTTTCGGTCGAGAACACTGGAATAGCGATTGGAATCTGATCACAAAATATTATATCAACACGTTGTTTCTAAATAATGCATAGTATTACAAATAAGGCGGCATATAACATTCGAAAATAAGCACAGAGAGCATACAAGCCACCAAATAAGCTTCGTAGCAACCAATCATCCGCCACTTGCGCGTGTAATTTACCATCCGTTGTTTCCTTCAAACAATGATTAGTAAGAAAGCTGATCTGATGGCCGCGGTCTTTTAAAGCTATAGCTGCGTTCAACCGTCAACAACTACGCACCTCCTATGCCCAAATCTGGATGTAAAAACAGCACGCGAACCATCTCGTCGCAAAAAAAAAAAAGTTTAACTTATTTTCAGTTTACACAAAGGTCATACAATTATTTGACACATCACACCGCTAGTGCTCATGACTAATTTATCGTTATGTGTACGTGTTTATATTTCCTTTAGTTTACATTTATTTTCACCTCTATGTTCTGGCTGAGATTTTTGGGTTAATTGCACAAGAATTTGTTTGCACTAGAGCAAAAGTTAGGTAACAGGGGCGTGTTTAGAAAAATAAGAATTTGAAATTGAAAAACAAAAACAAGATTTAGAATTTGTAAACTAGTATAACAATTCTTGCTCGGATGTTTTATATACTTTTTTTAATGTGGACATGTTTTTAAGCCAGTCTCGTCCGTTTTTGCATTGATATTCTAAAAGATGTATCACTCAAATCATTTAAAGGCATTAAAAGGAAATTTACCGATCAAATTATGATAGCCCATTTCGGCAACGAAGCTAAACTCTCATTTACAGTTGACACTTCATTTACCGCATCAACTTTATAACGGAAAAACAGAGTCTTTAGCGTCCTTTTTGGAAAGTTATCAACTTCTGAGATAAAATATGGTGCAATTGACAGAGAACTGTCAACTGTTTTAGCTTGTATCAAACACTTACAACACTTTTTAGAGGAACAGGAGTACACAGTCTACAACGAACACACAGCCCTGACAACAGAAACTAAACCTAAAACAGGGAGAAGATAAATTTGACATTTACATTTTATTGCTCAGCTTATATCAGATATACAGTGTACACGATGCGAAGCCAATACTGTAGCCCTCACTTTATCACGGTCTTATGAAGTACACGCTATCGGCGAGATTGATCTGAACATCAAAACATTTTGAAGCAGTAAGAAGACCCCGAGGTTAAAAGTGGTATAAATCAAAATATAAATAACTCATTATATTTAGAGGTAATAAAAGTACCATTTTACAATCTACCAGTTCGGTGCGATAAGAATCCAACCTAAGATCTTTCTTTCTGTGTAGTTTGCGAGGAATAACATTTGAGAAATTATGTTTCTGATCTAGGCACCAGAGCTATAGGCACATTAATTTCAGAACGTTACGAGATCTACGTTTGCACAAAGTAAGTAGGCCCATGAAATCTCTAATGAGTTGGATAACACTCCTTAGAAAGAAACAAAATTTTTATTTTAAGCAAAACAAAACAATATAAAAGTTCTGACTGCCTTGTGGCCGAGTCACTAATAATCAAAATTTTTGTTCACTTCATAACGATTAGGGAATACTAAAGGCTTTGACTGTATATTTTGTTGTTGCTGTGCACTATGTATTTTGACCCTCTTTTGCTTTACCATTTAGAATTTGCAATTTTTTTTGCTTTACCTTGGAATTTGGTGACACTTAATTTTTTTCGTTTAGTAGTATGCCAGTTTTATTACAAAAATTTTCCTTTTATGTGTTTTAAATTCAAATTTGGAGAGGTTAAGACAAAAATAACTATTCGCTATTATTCCTTCTGTACTTCCGCTCGGTACATATGAGTTGTTGGATGCCCTTTTACTCCTTCGCTGTATTTTTTTTCTAGTTGTTTCGCTCAACATTAACCGCTTGTTTTTTTTTTGTTGATTATATTCACTGAGTTATTTTTATTTTATTTTTATTTTTTGCCGATTTTTATAATTATTTATCTTCCGACACTTTGCGCAACACCTTGGTGATTGGTGGTTTTTGTTTAAGTGAACACACAGTTCTCTATTAAATTCCCTACACTACTTCGCTGTTCATGCAACGACTTTTCAAAGTAAGGCGGTATATTGGAAGTGGTCGATAAAAAGTTCCGATCGCAAGCATTTTCAATGGTGTCCGCCACGCCCGTTGCCAACTTTTATTCACATCGATTCAGAAAGGGGTTTTTGAAGGTGAATTGATCCCATGTATTTCTGCACGTTGTATACGTCCGCACAAACTTCATATATCCTTCTACCACAAGGGGCGTAGAGCATAAGAACTTGAAAAAAATGAAAGTTCGATATTCTATGCTATTCAGGGCTTCTCCGGTCTTAACCACGTACTGTGCCGTTTCTCATAAAATATATTATTATTATTATTATTATTATTGTAAATTTAGCCAGAGAATAAATTCTAGGACTAAAGTCTTAAAGCTCTAGCATCTAAGGCTTTCGGCTTTTTTATTAAAAACTCCACCGCACTTGAGATTTGAACCCACGATCATTGAGTTGATAGTCGAGACTCTACTCGGCCTACTCTGCCACTCAGGAGGATCCCATAAAATATAAAAAAGCACAATTCTTTTCCTTTTAAGATGTAATACAAGTGCAGAACAAGTTTGAAGGTTATACCAAAGAAGCCGCTCCAATTTGTAAGCTAATGCACCCTACCAATATAAGAAAAAGTTTGCAGTGATATTGCTTCCGAGCTTCTTTAAAGTACTTTTTTAAATATAATCTTTTTTTTTGCTCTGGGGTAAATAATAACAATTGGTCGAAATTTTTCATAAATTTATAATTCATATAAGAGAATATTATTTCGGTTGGAAAAGTGCGTTCCGCAAGTTAAATAAGCTGTCCCAAAAAAAAAAGGGAGAAGAGCATATCTATACTCGGTTTTTACTTAGAATTTTTGCAAATCTTAGTATTATAAATTGAAGTAATTGCTATGGTGTGCTGTAGCAAAATAGGATAAATTAAAACACACTGTTAATATTTGAAAATAAAATAATGGTTGTGAGACTAGTTGAAAAGTTTATTTACCATTCAATGAATTACGATCCGACAGCATAGTGTTGTGTGATCGCATATCCACTTTGAAGTGTGACAGACTTATGCAAAATCAGCATAATTCAGTTGCAAAAAGAACAAAAAAAATTATGTCACACTTTAAATAGCTGAGAATTGCATTTCGTAATGGAATAAAGCGGCAGGCGCCGCAATTAAATTAATCGGTCAAAATTTTATGCTTACGCTGGCGATAAGATATTCTTGTAAAATTTAAGTAGTAAGATGAAATAAAGATAATTGTTGCAAATTAACAATTAAAATAAGCGTTTCATTCGCTACATGAAAAATGGCTTTCCATCCGCCTAAATTATCAAGCTAGGGACAACTTCTAGCCGATCTCGTATTCATAATGAATCTTTGTTTAATTTCTCCTTACTGCCACCAACATTTCTTTTACTCGGCGATCCCGCTCACTACGATCTTGCAAACCACGCAGTAATCTGCCATTTTTTCTTTCAACATCACAGTCAACCAATTTTTTGATTCCAGAAAACCGAATCACGATCCTACCGATAATTTCGATTCTGCCAATTTCTGATCAACATCTTTAGACCCTGCCAAACCCAACCTTCATTAAAGCCAAGTACAAAATATTGACAATATTGGCGACCACTAGCCAAATTTTCGAGACAAACAACTACTATAAACCCGCTCAGACAATGATCAAATATACAAAGGAGTCTCTCACAATACTGGATACACCGTCCACCGCGCAAAGAGGGTATTTTAACATACATCGGCCCAGTTGGAAAACACAGGTTGGTGATGTAGAATGAATTCGTCGCCACCCTTTATCCAAAGCTACTAATCATTTCGCCGCAAAATTTGCACCATGTTTAAGAATGCTTAATAATGTTTAATAAGGTTTTTCAGTTTGGCAACCCTGCGTGCGCGTTGTAGTCGCATTTTAATTCTCTGCAAGAAATATTTCAATTTCTCAGTGTATTTCTTAGCTTTTTGGCTTTATTCGTGTCTAAATTGTAAAAATCTTAAAAAGAATAAAATGTGAATTTATCTTGTATGAATTATATTAATCTGTTATGTGAAAAATTCATTTTGGTTTTGTGCAATCAACAATTAGAGCTCTTGGTAAAAGTCTCTCTTTTTTCTGTTAATCTTTGTTTTCACTCTATATTTACAGTGAGAACGAAAGTGATAAGTTTGCTTTAATTTGCTGAAATTTTGTGCCGCGGTATCTTTCAGTTTTTTGGTCTTTTTTTCATAAGCTTCTTTTGTTGTTTTCGTTGGACTGGACTGGATTGTTTATTTACACCATGTCGTGCGAAAACCGGCCCTGAATCTGAACGATTCATCTCGTGTTGGCTGTGTGATCGTTTTCGTTATGCAAGGTGTGCTGGTATTATCGGCCGTGCTGTTGATGCAGTCCTTAATCCTTCAAAAGGCTTACGACGGTCATGTCCTATCTGTAGAAAGCGGGATCTGAAGAGATTGTAGATTGATCGGAGGCGAGAAATTGTTTCTCAAATTTGAGGAAAAATCTTGGCTCCTTATGGTATAAATTTGAAATAATTAAGATTATCTTTGATGAGTGTCGTTACATTGAGCACTCATCTTCTTCCCCAGCTAGCAAAGTTACATCTCGTAGCGTAAACTGTGGTTCGTCACCTCTGAGTTCTCCTAAGTAGGATTCGTTGGATTCCTCAAAGTCTGCAAACTATCCATATCCGAGTACCAATTTGGTTTCAATTCATAATTTCTGAAAATGACGTCTTTGAAGGCTTAAGCTTTCTAAATTATAATTGTGCGCCTGGATCTGATGGAATTCCATTATGTGTACTTAAACCTTGTGCTGTCGGGCTATGCGGTGTTATCTCAAAGATTTTTAACCGATTCTTGAATTTAGATGCCTTCCCTTTGTGTTCGAAGACTAGCTTCTTTATTCCTATCTACAAAAGTGGACGTGGACTACTTGCAGAGAACTACAGAGGCATTGCCAAGTTGAGTGTCTTGCCTAAACTGTTCGAGCGAATTGTCACTCACCATTTGGCCTTTGAAATCAAATCGTTTGATTCTCCACTTCAACATGGCTTTCGAAAAGGAAGACCTATTGTCACCAATGTGTTAAAGTTTACTTGTCATGTTTGCAAGGCTTTCTTTAGTGGCTCTCGCGCTGATGTCTTATACACTGATTTTAGCCAAGCGTTTCATTTGGTTACCCATAAACTGCTTATTTCTAAACTCCAAGCCTCTGGTTGCCCTTTCTATTTAGTGAAATGGATAAGTTCTCACCTGCACAATAGGTCATTGAGTGTTTTGTTTAATTTCATTACCTCGGATGAATTCCCCGTGACGTCTGGCGTACCTTAGTACCCATTTTATTTAATTTATACATTAATGATTTGCCCTCGGTGAGCAAATCCAGCCAGATCTTAATATATGCTGATGATGTGAAACTGTTCTCTTCCTTTTCCGCAAAATCGTAATCACATCAGTATAAGATTTCCTATTAAGATGTACTAATGTTCTTTAGTTGAATAAATTGATATTTGTTAAATTTTCAAATTTTACTTTTATTTGGTTTTTGGAAAAAATAAAGAAATTTGATTTGAACAGAGAAACAAAATATAAATTTTGAGGGAGAATTTTTCAGAGTTTTTGTTCACTTTTATTAAAAAATATATGTATTTTGCTCATTTTCAGGCTAGAGTGGATTGATTTTGGTCATTTTCACATACACACTGGTTGCGAAAAAAAAATTTTAAAAATCAGAAAGAGGTTACAAACATTTAAATATTGGTGAAATCAGAAATGTGTAAATAAAAGTGAAATCGGCAACATTTAAATGATAGTTCTAAATTTTAAGTTTTCTTTTAGAAAACTTTAACAAAGTTGTAAGGTTACATTTATTGACGGTAAGTAAATTTATTTCCCTTCTTTACAATATTTAAGGTATTGAGAAGAAGACCCAGCTGAGATTCCCATACTTTTTCTAGAAATCTTTTTGGTGTCTCCTTCGTTTCTAGCAATTTCAAATAATTTATTCGGGTTCGTGTTGTTCATGCTCCTAATAGGAAAAAACTTCAGGGAGAGCAAGGATATTGACATATTAACATAACATCCTTCTAATAAGATATGCTGCGTCCTCTTCGCGCGTCAGTTCTACCGCTCGTCGCAATATTCGCTGTTTTATAATGGTAAGTTTATATATATCTTTACTGATTGTCATTTTTAACTTAGTTATATAATTTTTTGTCTTCATTTTAGATTAAGACGCAAGATGTGTCGCCACCAGACTATAGCAGCGAATATCCTGATTGGGACGTTAAACGAAGTAAATTTCTGATACAATTGATAATAGAATAAATAAAATGTCTCCTAGTTGAAAAAACTTTCATCTTCGCTGTACATAAATATAATACATTTTTAATAAACCCTAACGCCAATTGAATAATGAATAATGATGATAATGGACTAGATTAGATAAAATATACACCGTTAACATTTATTCTTTATACGACTTAAATGAACAAAATTGGGCACAACTTCCGCCACCCATTCTGGTGAGATTTCGGTTACTTGACGTAGAAAATTGCGTTCTGTCAAAACGATTTCTGTGTAAATAATATATTCGGGGCGATATTTTCCATGAAATACGCTAGAAGGATGAATTTTGGCACGTTGTCGACCTGTGATGGTCAAGTAAAAGTGATCACGTTGCAGTTCAGCAATATTATCAAATAAACCCATCAGCAAGCATTTACGTACTTGATCGTGATTTTCACCGCAACTATTGATTTGCAGTTGCAAACGTTCAATAATTTCCAACAGTTGCTGGCGCACCTCGCGGGCATAAAGGAGATTCCGAGTATTAAGAAAATTGTCACGACACCACAGCTAGAAGGGAGTGAATTTTACTTACAATAATTGTAATAAAAAGTGATTAGATCTCATACCTTGACCTTATCAATTTTCTGAAAAGCACTAAATACATTGAGCAAAGTAAGGTGGTCGCCATGTTTCGAGTGAAATTTTGCATGAGCAAGAGCGGCTTGTTCCCGTTTCTCATTACTCGTAACGAAAACATTTTCTCCTGAAAGCACTGCTACTAAATGGAGCATTTCCTCCATGCAACCGAACTGTGGTGCGGCAAGTAATAACTTACTATATTGCGGATCTAAAGGAAATTGGGCCATTTGTCGACCAAGTGGTGTAAGTTGGGGTGTATTGGAAGTGTTTCGTATAGCGCCTAAAGATTCTAGTTTACGATAGGCTACTTCAATTGCTTCCGGAGAAGGACGATCAAGAAAGTCGAAACTGCGGCAATTCACGCCAAGGGCAAGTAATTGGAGAACTGTAGAACATATGTTGCTGCGTAAAATTTCAGGTTTAGGCATCTTTTCGAAAGCATTCATTTCCTGTTGCGTGTAAGTGCGATAACAAACACCAGGAGCATCGCGCCCTGCACGTCCACATCGTTGCCATGCTTGAGCTTGCGATATGCGCACTGCGCGTAAAACATCCAAACCTGTACTAGGTGTATATATTCGTCGTTTCACATAACCAGCATCAATTACACATCGAATTCCAGGCATTGTAACCGAAGTTTCAGCTATATTTGTTGCCAAAACAATCTTACGAGCATTAGCAGGAGCAGGCAGAAAGCATTCCAACTGCTTGTTTTGAGGCAATTGAGAATACAGAGGAAAAACCCGCACTCCAAAAAGAGTGTCGAGATTGGACTAAAAAAGAATCAAGATAATAGCATTAAATAGATAAAAGCCGAAAGTCAGAGATGCTAGTGCTTGCGGGTTTTGTCTTTGACTTAGTCTACGGATTTAGTTCTCTGGCTAAATTAATAATAATAATAATATTTGCTTTTGGTAGTTTCCCACGTCTTGAAATCCAAAGAAAGGTAATTAATGCAACGTTTTCAAATATTTTGAGACGTCATAAAATGCGAATGTCGGAGAGACAGTTTAATGTATAAATTCGTAGGAATACTCCGATAAATATCCGCTGCTTTATTTTTCGAATATGGCTTATATACGCGAGACATGCCAACTGAAAACTTTGTATTAGAAATTTAAGCAGAAGAAATGTGACGTCGGTCAAACCAGAGCTTTAACGCGGATATCCACCAACGATTGCGGATTCGTTATTGTTTAAACAGCTATATTACGGAGATTAAATAGAAAGTAAAGCTTTAGCCGCGAACGATATGTGTTAAACGCTCTTAAAAATTGTAGATTTACCTTTTAACTAGCAGTACCATCACTTTTCGAATTGAGATTTATAAAAATTTTTACCTATGTATTCGACCCTACCTTTGCTATTTGACGTATTTGATGAGCCATTGCTTCAATTTCCTCCTGACCTGTCAGGAATATTAGAACATCATAGCTGAAAGAGGGTAACTTTTTATTTAAAACAAATCTGGTATATATTAATACAAGAGAAAAAACCTACTTTACTGGAGTTGTGCGGTGTATATCAAATAATGTTACTAGAGCTGCATGCAGATAATCCGGTTGTGGTGTTACAATGTGCATTACCCGAACTGGATGCGATCGTCCCTCCAGGTACATACCACGTACGCCAAAATATTCGCCGAAGTGATCAATATCCATAGTTGCAGATGTGATTATCACTTTCAATGGGGTCAGACTTCTCAGTCGGCGTTCTTGTTGAGCTTCCTTCACCACGCCGAATAACACATCCGTACTTATCGTGCGCTCATGAGCTTCATCCAACATAATGACTGAATAATTACGTAACATACGGTCGGCTAGAGCTTCTCGTAAGAGAAATCCATCAGTCATAAAACGTATACGTGTTTTTGGTGAGGTGCAATCTTCGAAACGAACGGTGTAACCAACCACATCGCCTAATTGGCAATGTTGCTCTTGTGAAACCCGTCTTGCAACTGTTATAGCAGCTACACGTCGTGGTTGGGTGACAGCAATTACACCTTTGTTGCCGTAACCGCTTGCCAAAAGAAACTGAGGTATTTGTGTCGTTTTTCCCGATCCCGTCTCACCCATAATTAACAAAGTGTCCGATCTGTAGACTTCTTGCATTAAGTTTTTTCGAACTCTTGCTACAGGCAATGCTTGACGTTGTTCTTCAATTCGGCTTTTGGGCGACAATTTCACGGGTAAACTGCTCTGCACATTCTGGAGATGATTTTCTGTTTCATTATCTCCTGTAACATTATCTCCTATGCGATTGTTATTCTTAAAGACCCACTCCAATTTTGTTACTTTTGCGCCAACATTCTCTTGTATTCCCGCATTTCTTGAATTCTGCAGTTTTCTTTTGAGAGGAAACATACCATTATATGCATCGCAAAATTTTGACGGAGGTTTATTGGGTAACGCGTATTTAGATTCCATTACTATTTAAGAACTACAACAAAAGCTCATTAAATATTGTTTAAAAAAAGCAGAAAAAAACCCGCACGTGAATAGAACTAAAAACATAAAATAGTGTCATCAACTTTCCATATTATGCTAAAGAATCGAAAATTACTAACTTTTAAGCATGTTTATATATAATAATTCTTCGTAACAACATCCAGTGTTTTATTCCATTCATATATGTTTATTTTAGCCATAAGACGCATGAGATTTTGGACACAAACCACTCAGAGATGCGACAATAGTGCAAAGTGGAATGAATGGAATCTAAAGTAATCACCTCAAATTTTACAATTACTTTTTCAGCAAAGCCTGATAAAGAAAATTATATTCGATCCGAAACTTTATGGGTATTTTGATCATAATTCATGCAAGTGTGGTCATGACACACAGGTTTGTGGAGGGTATAAGTGTGTATATGACAGGTTTCGGAAGGTATTAGTGTGTTTATGACAGATTTATGGAAGGTATTAGTGTGTTTTGACAGATTTTTGGAAGGTATTAGTGTGTTTTGACAGGTTTTTGGAAGGTATTAGTGTGTTCATCTATCTCTTTTTCCGCAAGTCGTTGTTCTTGACCTGTTTACGTTATGGGAACGTTCCCTGAGCGACTGGTAAGCAATCCAGGCAGTTGCATTTTCTTTCTGTTCTTTCTTTCTCTACTTCTTAATCTCTCTATATTAAGTAATATTACCCTTAAAATAGCATACTCAAGGATAAGGAAGATAAACTAACTTAATTATCTTCTATTTTCTTGGAATAATTTAACGCCCTACACTTAACCTGATGAATGGTTTATTAGGGGACGAAAAAAATTACAATGTGTAAAAAAATTTCTCACTCGTTGGACAAAGATATGTTCTTTCTAAAACGCTTGATGTTAAAGTGAAAGTGCCTGCCATTGTTGTTGGATAAACGGATATTCAGAAGGTGAAACAAATTATTAACGCATCCATTGCCCTATTTAGTGTCAATTAAGAAAATGTCTTCGCGAACATTCTGCTCGTAAGTCTTTGAAAACGAAAAGCAAAGCAAAAGATTAAAGAACTTCAGATTTCAGTCAGATCTATGCAACCAGATGGCTCAGACTTTAGGCAATTATTTTTTTTATGCTGGAATGCTATTGACATCTTCATCTAACTACTTTACTTCCTCACTTGCTGATTACCAACCTATTATTTGTCTCATGTGTTAGAAAGTTGTTATAGAAAAAAAAAAAAGTTTTAAGCCGAAAAAATTGCTGTTTTATACTTGCTAGAAATATTACAAACAAAACTCTTATTCCTATTTGGTTTATACCGATCATCGTTATGCTAAAGTAAACTAAAAATAGAAGGACAACTGAATTTTCATACTTTATAATCTTGGTTGGGCATGGCTGATTTTTTCTTTTTTTATGCCTATCACCGAATGATGAGGGTTATATTTATTTCATTTGTTTTTTAAAACGGTTGCAATTTTTTACACTATATAATTAACACGTTAGCAAAAAAGTAAAAATTCAGTAACGTGTAAAAAATGACGGTCAATATATTTGAAAAATAGTTGTCCGAAATCTGTTAGAATGCATTTTCTAGGGGTAGTTAGAAGATCATATTTTAAGCGATATATGCAACGAATGCTTAGGCATTGATGTAATAGAATTTTCTCTCTTTCTAATGTACAGAAATTAACGAATTTAAAGGCGCTTTAAGTAAAATTGTAAATACAGAGAGAAAAATAAAATAATATAGAAAAACCCTATAAAATACAATTAAATGAAATTAAATGAGCTGCAGCAGGAGTGCGATTCTCTGAACTTTACATTCTTAAGTTTCACAAATCTTCTCCTTTAATTCTAATTTTTCGCAATTAGTGAGGAAAGTATATCAAGAATAAATAGTTTTTTGACCAAAAAATTCAGCTGTGCTCCGCTTCGGCCATATAGATCAGTCCCATATCCATAAGTAGCCTTATGGAAGGTAAGCCTTTATAAAGCCTTGGCGAAAATTTGCACGATACTGTACTTGGGGCGTGTTGGTTTTGGACAACCAACCGATTTAAAAGCGCGTGCTTCTCAAAAAGCCATTTTAATACCACCAAAGTTCAAATTGTTATTATATTCAAAACTGTTGCGCTTGTAGCAGGTATAGCGGTGGACGGTATTTAATGGCCGGTATGTTATTTAAAAATGTTTTAACACGTTTTAATTAGCAGTAAGATTAACTGCGATGTTGATTTCAATTCGTGTTCACAAGTTGTAAAATATATTATTGATTGAATGATCCGTTCAAACCATTTTTCCACACATCTTTTATATAGATCTAGGACTTCTTTACGGATTGATCGTGTCAACTTTTACATTAAGGATCTAGTTGGTAAATAATTACATTAGTCCTTGTTAGTTACTGGTTGTTGTGCATTGTATGAAGGTTACAGATCGGCCCTGTATAAAGTTGCTTTGTGATCGTCAAATGATGACCGGCAGACAGGTGGTGAGGATTAAGCAATGTAATGGTTAATTATAATTAGTAAACAGACGGGAAAAGTTTGATTGTGCTTCAAATCAAAAGATTTTCCTCGCTAAAATCCGGTTTTTTGAAGGCGTGTAAAAATATGTTTACGAAAGTCCAATTTTCTGTGAAGCTCTTTTCGTAGCAAGATTATTCTAAGATGTTCTACTGGTATCCTTCTATTTAGCAGACATATTTCAATGTAACCATTGGCAAAGTTGGCTGGTGTTCGTTAACTAAAAATACATTGTAACTGAAAGAATAATTCTTTTTTCAATGTTATAATAATAAACTGCTTTTTAGAGGACATTTAGCTTATTATCCATTTGAAAGCATACTCGTTAAGAGTTGGAAAGGTTTTACTTAATAATTAATTTTTTAAGGAGCAGTAACGTTATTGAGTTATTAAGATATTTACTAGCTATTGAGTTTGAGGAAAAGTTCTACCGTTTAAGACAATTTATATTTTATTACTATACAAGATTTGTGATAAACGCATATTAACTTTGTGCTTATGTTTGCCATTCATTAGCTGAAAGGAATCAGAGAAATGATTATTGATTCTTACTTTAAACCGCGGATGCGATGTGAATGATTTGATGTAGTTGAAGAATTTGAGTCCAAAATTCCACGATTTCAAGAATCTTAAAATAACATGTAGATCAACTATGTCTAAATCAATTGAGAGGATTGTAATATGATTCAGTTCGGAAATTGCATTCCTTGTAAAATAATCAATATGTAAAAAAGCGTCGATGCACCCTCTTCCCTTCTTGAAAACAACTTGTTGCTTTGTAATCAGGTTCTTGGACTGAAGAAACCAGGGTGATCTAGACGCCATAATCTTGTCTAATACTTTTGAGAGGCAAGATAAAAGAAAGATTTGGCGATAATCCGTTGCGATGGAGAGATTTTATGACTTTTGAACAACTGCTGCCTGTTTCCAAATGTAGGGTACAAGGGCAGTCAAAAAGACCGTATTACATAAGTCCAGTAATTTCTTTTTACTTGAATAAGACAGAGCACTGATTATTTGGTATGAGATGCGGTCTAGACCAGGTGTTCTCCTCTTCAAATTGGGGAGACAACTTCCAAATTCTAAGGTAGATATGCAATTTTCCAGGAACATGGCACATCTATCAATACTATTTGAAAGAGATATTGGAGTCCTTTTATTTTCGATGAAAGCACTGGAAAAGTTGCTGCCGCCAGAGAAGTATTGGCACCACACTTTTCCAAAGTAATTAGAAATCTCATCTGCGTCAGTTAAAGTTTCATTGAGAGTGCAGACGACAGAAATTTCAGATTTGAAGTCCCATTTTGTTTCAGACAACTTTCATTGATGTATTTCTGTGAATTCTTTTCGAAAAAAGTTCGAAACTAAGTACCTTTGATTTTCGTAATTCCTTTCTAAAAAAAAAGAGCATTGGCCTTTTTGTATAATAACAAATGAACATGATCAGGACATCTTTTAAAGCGGTGCCATAGATCCATTTTGTTTTTCCTCAACAACGAAGGCCTGTTGTTCCACCAAGGAAGCCTAGCTCGTTTAAGGAAGTCGTTGGATTGAGGAATAGGGAGATGAGTAGCAGTGCTAATCGCTTTAGACTTAATAGCAGCACCATGGTTGCAGTTCCCTTTTACGGAAAATAAATTGAAACGAGATAATTATAATTTAATTGATAACTACTGTACACGTTATATTCTTAAAAGCCAAATGAATGCAGTTTTTAAAAAATACATACAATAATGCATAAAATGTTCAATATTAAATAAAAGGATGCAACAAAAATATCTAATAATCTAGAAGATTTGTAAATCATGATCGCCATCAATCGTTCATTCGAATTACAAGTCACATATTCTACCGTGAGGACAATTTTTCGAACGTTTAGTTCAATGATTTTGACTCTATTTCCTGCTTACTTTACTACCTATTTCAGTGCGTAGCTAGCATAAATTCGCAGTTAAGTGCTAAGGGGATTAACACAAGAACTTTTTCTCACATTCCTTGCGTAGGAGTATGTGTTCCGAAAGGTAAGACGTCGTTTTCTAATTGGAATGCTTTAGCATAATTACTATTGCAAAACTTATTCGCGCGTATATTCTTTATAATGTGGGAATTACTTGCCAACAATTTTTCAACCGTAATTTTATATAAACGTTAACGATACTTACAATAACAATAGCACAAATATCTCGATGTGCGCGCCTTTCTGCTAACGACACTGAATAAATAATTAACAATTTAGTGAGTGCAGAGACATCCAAGCGTACGGACGTTTTAAAAAGAGAGGAATTTACAGAAAACACGGGAAATAGTACGACAAATGAAATTGTTTGGCACTGTGTTTAGCCATAACGCGAGAGCACAGCGACAATAATATTTTACATTTCAATGAAATCATAATTATTGCCAGGACGTCTGTGTGGGAGCGTCTTCTTTAAGATCTGTTTCATTTATTCACATTTCATGGAAAATAACCTCCTTAAAAAAAAAAAAAAATTCACTTACGTCAAGTCACGCCGTTTAGATAGTGTTTTTTTTTCATATCTATTGACTTACAATAAATGTCATTATTACTCGACACCACGCAATTTGATGGCATCGTTATTGGTATTGTTATTTTAAAATATTAATGTCAATACATTCACATAAAATGTATATATGTGCATTAGCTTTTCCTCGTCGTTGAGATCATCGGCAGGTCAGAGATAAACTGAAGAGTGGATGAAGCACTGCTTATTAGTACATAGATACGCTTTATATGCCATCAATGTTTTTCGCTTTAATTTACATGTTGTATGCCAGTGATATTCAAAAAGTTGCCGGAGTAAGCGATTTTAAAGTATGGGTACCGTTATGTTGTCCCACCAGTTGGTTATTAGCTAAAGTGAATCGTGGTATTTTCCGTTTGCCTAACTATAAATGTGTTCCGCCACCAATTGACCGTTTCGAATTGATCGACAATGAAATTGCGATTTTTGAGGACACTCATGCCATACATGGTTATGGAATCTACGATGTTAATCAAACTTTGTCAAACTCGAGCGTTTTATCCTGTGATCATCAAACACTAATCAAATTAACCGGCAATGAAAACGTTCAAATTCCATCCCATTCCTGCGTCATTGGCTTAGGCAAACACATTGCCGTAATTTCCTGTCCTTTACACGACAACGACATATTGCAACCGTTAAATTTTATTCACAAATGTTGTCCAATCGGCTATGTTTATGAGGTCAGCCAACAAAAGTGCATTGTAAATGAGGACGACAACTACCATGTCTATAAAGGGTATTTTCCAAACTTTGCCATCTTTAATAGCGCTCCCTTGGATTGTTCAACCAATAAAGTATTAGTTGAATACAAAGTCAACAAATTGCAAAGCAGTTTCGCTGACGATCAGTTTATTTTGTTGCAGCCAGAGAAAAGAAAATTCTATTATTCCGATTACTGTTTGGAAGCTATAATGGATCAATCGAATATTCAGCAGAAGTCTAACGTATCTTTAGAAATCACCAGCGGGGAAATGCAACCATTTTTAGTACGTGTCTGCGATAACACTGCCATATGTGACCGAATACCTTGCATTAGACGCTGCTGTCAAGACGATGAAATTTTTACAAGAGGAAATGCCACTTCTTACTGTAAGAAGGATACTGGCGATATTTCATATCACAGCTTTGAATCCTTGAATACAAGTGGAAATTTCACTAAACCTCAAAGCAAGTAAAAAAATAATTTCCATTGTTTAAGGTATATTCTTTTTTTATTATTATATTTTTGATTTAAATATCCTCTAAAATACGAAAAGATAACTATGAGCGGACGAAATTATAAATTGTAAAAAAAGCCGAGTTTTGTGCGTAATCATATTGCTGTTTGCGGATAGTTGAGAAACGCATTTTATTCGAAATCATATTTTTGGAAAAAAAGAAGCGACTTTAAATAGACGACATTTTTCTTTAAAATCACTTCTCCGCGAAAAGTGCCCAATGGTTACTAACTTTGGGTGGTGTTTTCAGGAAATTTTTGCTTTGCTGTTGTAAGAGCAAAAGGGCAAGAGGAATAAAAAAAAAAAAAAAAATATAATTATATTGTAGGACTTTTTTTTTAATTCTGAAAAGATTTTTTAAGTACTTTAAAATCTGTAATCTCTATGGCGCATGTAAATTCCGTCTAATAACAAAATTTTTCATTTTTTTAAAAAGTAAATTTAGTAAAATTACCTTGTGTCTGGTCAACACAAAGTAATGCTGCCCTTTAATGCAATGGGATATTGAATTAACTTCTATAATTTCTTTGTTATTTCCGAAACAAAGAAAGCCCAGCTCTCAGCAACGCTACTGATGTAGGAACAAATATATTTTTCGACGAAAGGAGATTTGATTTGAGGCTGTGTCCTTGAACTGAACACTGTCGAACCTTTGTTGTTTATAATTATTTCTATTTCCATAAGAAGTTCATCTTATCTGATACTATGTGCAAATATTCAAAACTGTACACTTTTTCTAGGCGCTCTGCATTCGGTACCTTCCACTCATCATTTTGAGCTTTTCGTTTTTTTCCCTCTCTCTTTCTTTTCCCTTTCTTTAATTCTTTTCTTTCCGGTTTTCCTTATCGATTGTTTTGGGAAGTAAAAAATTAATATTGCGGCAGTACGGGCTGATACGATCTTTTTGGATTGCATGAAAAATGAAACAGTGATGTTTTCGTCATTTCGCAATTGCAAAAATCTAAATTCTGAAGTAGGGATCTGTCATTATTGAAAAGAAAACTTAAAAAAGAAAACTTAGAAGCATAATTAAATAAGTAAAAAAATAAATAAATAAAATAATATAAAATAGAACAAAATTTGAAACGAAAGAAATTAATTCAAGTGACTACATAATTAGGCAATAAAACACTTATTCTATTTAAGTTTAGATGAGTACTGCTTGTAAATAAGGTATTAAATTGTATTTTTATAAACATTTGTGTATAAATTCAAAAATATCTTTTAGAAACAATTTTCTTGCATTTGTATATTATATATCAACAAATCAAACAATAACAAATTTTCGCGTGTTGTTATTGTTCGTGCGTTTATATAACAATGCAAACAATAATATTTATACAAACGCCCAAATTAGTTTGCTTCCAATTTTGTACGATTGGAACATAAATGAAAGGATCTACGAAAGTAAGAGTGAAAAACGCATAATGTCATTAAGATATCGTTTTTGCTTGCATCGACTTTTTTAGTATTCATAGCGTACATATCCCGCTTTTTATGTAACCGTTCTTCTTGTTCTTGAATGTTCAGCGAATCAGCAATAGACGATTTACCACCTGTAGTATTTACTATAGATATCTAGAAATATGCTAAGTTTCTGTCAACGTACGCAACACACAGCAGGTAAACTCACCTTTTATTGTCAATTAAGCCAGAAACCTTGTTTTTTCATCACTTTGGGGCTTTACAGTGAAGACAAAAAAATTTATTGCAGGCGACGTGGCATATGTTAATTGAAACAAAGCTGCTTTTTATATATATCCGGAATGTGATAGATTTAACTTAAGATAGCTCCTTTAAGATAATAATAGGCAAATTTTTATACCTATTACCGAATGTCAATTTGTCAAAACGTTTGCAACGCCCAGACGGAAGATTCAGGGGCCCCACAAAGTATATACATTCTTGATCTGCTCCTCTATTTAAAGTCTGCTGTAAATGTTCTCCTAACCGAAATACGAAGGTATGAATCGACTACATATTTGATAAAGACATTGAAGTTCTTGTAAACAGGTTACTGCTGCAAATGAGCCAAATACGCCCACTGTACTACGTAAACTGGGAATAACTCTGTTTTTTGAAACGAATTAAAAATTGGATTTCGCTCATTGCTCATAAACTATAGCAGATAAATATATAAAACTTGAACGTATATTCTACAGGCGATGCGGTGGTACTTATACAAAAATGAAAAAAATTGCCTGTCCAATATTATAGTGTAGCAAAATTTCATTTTTTTTTCAATATCTCTATAACACGCAGAAGGTTATAGAAACCCCATAAAATACATAAAATCTTGAGCAGGTTCACATTCGAAATGTACTTAAGCATGACCGTCTTTTCGTCTGTCCAACTGTGTTAACCATCATCTCGTTCGCAAAAATGAAGATATCGCCTACAAGTTTGCAAAAGAATTTGAATGTGACCCACACGCGTATGCAACAAAAATTGTTGTTGGTGCTCATAAAATGCACACATATATCATATAAAGTTCCACTTTTATCCTGAAAATAAAAAATGTCACACACGTCCACCCAATATTATAGAGTAAAAAAAATTTTTGTTTTTTTCCTTTTTTTCAGTGTTTTTGAGGATAACAATGATCAGTGTAAAAGATTTGGTCACGATCGAAATTAATTTTCTTACGTGTTACCGATTACGTACGAATGTAGGGATTAAATCGGGTGACCTTTATTAAAATTGATTTTAAATGACTTGGATGGAGTCAAAAGAAAGCTTAATGTGCGTTTTGGAATAAGACGAAATGCGAAAATAGCTACATTGGCAAACGGTATACACATATGAATAGAAAAATAGGTGTATGTTGTTATATGTTGATAGGTGAATTTTTTTCCTTTTTTCCCTTTTCCTCCTCTTTTACTGCTACAGGGTACGTGACGTTTTAGTCCTCTTTCGTCCGCTTCAATGCAAACATCGTCAAAAGATATGAGAATCGCCAAGGTCATTCAAATTGGATGAATGTTTCGAACCATTAACTTTATAGTTTCCAACAAGATTTTATATACATAGTAGTTCTCTCATAGTAGTTTTCTGAGATGTGTCGAATGGATACTTTCCCAAGAAAACAGCCCATCTCATAAAGTATCTTCCCCCATATTTGGTAGGTTTTTTAGAAAATCTATTGTGAAAGTCTATTCTTTTCGACAGAAATACACATCACACTTCACAATTTCTTCGCCTTCTGGTCTGTATCAATTTTTAGGGACTACAGCGCAGTCTTTCCGTTTCTTCAAATTGGTACATAACAAACGTCGACGAGCAGTTCAGGACGATGCAACAACCGCAATATCCTTGGAAATTATTCTAAATGACTCGAGGAGTCTCGCTTTGCTAAAATTGTAATGCGACTAATTGAATTAGGAGACATTTTTTTAACCGCTCCGGCCTCTCAATCCTTTGTTGCGGACGTATACCTCTAGCTTTGACTATTGCTCTGCGTTTCTTGTACTATTAATACTTATAGCCAAAATATAAATACAAAATTTTATTTATTTATTGTTTATCTTTTTAGTATTTGGTGTTTTACGAAGTTTAGATTGTCTTAAATATCATTTAAATCCGGATATTTATCCCGAAGACGAACATTATCTGAACAATCGAGATGGATCGTTGTTTGTATGGGCAGACGCTAAACAATACTCTAACAATGAATACTGTATCGAAAAGATACATAATTCATCTCTGGCGACGCAAAAGGTGAAATTTTCATTTAATGCCTTACTTTTCAGAGAAGATGTTATTATTAAAATCTAATTTAAACTAGTTGTATACATTTCTTTGCTTCGACACCAAAATTGTGGGTAATGATCGTTTGCGTTTCAAGGTATACGTGATCGGATTATTTACATCGTGTTCGTTTTACGCTCTAACTTTACTGGTCTATTTGTCAATATCTAAATTGCGTAACTTACCTGGAAAGATATTGATTTGTTTGGTCAGTAATCTCTTAATGGCTTATTTTAATATAGCCGTGGGTCAGTTAATGCCTACGGCAAATAATAATATTTGCTTCGCCTTAGGTAAGTAATGGTTGTTTTGCAAATAACGCAGCACATTAAAAGATAAGTTCTGTTAACTTAATTTCATACTCGCCACCACAAGGAAAAAATAGTATGTCTTGTCATTTGTAACACTTGGAAAAACGCCTCGCAGAAATATGTTGGTTTTCCATCAGTATAAAGTTTCGAGTCGATTTATTCTTGTCCGCATGTGATAAGTCCGCCCCTACTTAAATTTGTGGACACCATATATTCTTAATTGCTAAACTGTAGTTAAGATTTAGATTCGGTGTGTTTTCCTGTTTCTTTGTGCATCTATACGTTCTTTGATCCTTGTTAGATTACCCAAGATAAGGAATGTTGCCTTTTGTTTGGTATGATTTGGTATATGGGAGCCTAGGACTAAAAACAGGTTGAAAGATGAAATAACTAAAAAAAATGAAATTAAAGAAGATTTAAAATTTAACGTAAAGGGGAGTCAGTATCCGTCAACAAGTTTTTTTTTTGCGTTGGTTTGCACCCGAGTTTCGCTTTAAAATGAGTACGAAACTTTTTTACTTTGTTTCCATTTTCAGCATTTTTTACATACTTTTGCCTAATGGCTGCCTTTTCATGGATGAACGTAATGTGCTTTGATATCTGGCAAACGTTTGGGTAAGTATGCCCTTCTAAAACGCCAGATGTTCAATAGTTTGTTGTGCAAATAAATTGGTTTGCTATCGATAAAATTTGAACGGTGAAGTCTTCTTGTGTACGGTTTCCTTCTATGTAACGTATATCTAAATATTAATCTATTTCAATAAGCGAAAAAGGATGAATCCGTAGTTAAGATTACAATGTTGCAAAATTCATGTCCACTTTGAATTATTTTGCTTAGCACCTTCAACAGTTGTAAACGTAACATCGATTGAAATAGTTTTGTGCTCCACTGTTTAGACATTTATTGCTTACAAGAATCGATTTTCCATAACCTATCGCACATAAATGTCAAATAAATTGAAGAAATTAGTGCTTATCATTCATTCTTTTACGGACAAATAACTCTCCTCGTAGCATAGGAGTGCAGTACGTTTGTCACTTCGGCTGTAAGGCCAAGAAGTATGCGCTAAAGCACACCAAAAGTTATATACTTCTGATTAACAAAAAATTTAAAGCTGATGTACTACGGTGACATTCAAAGATCAAGCTCCCAACAAAATGTTTTTTTTTTTTTGATTGACTAATCGTTCAAGTTGCTTGTGCACGCAAAATTTTTCTTGGGAAGAAGAGATCATTAGAAAACCAAAAGCGAAAGGGGCTATATTTGCAAATATCCGACTTATATATGCTAACATTAGCATAGGCAGCTGGGGGGGAATAGTCGTAGTCCACTCGTAAGAAGTAAGAAAATTATATTCCGAGTGGGTGACTTATTTAACTTACTTTCCGCTTTCACACCATAACAATCATCTAAAAGTTGAGAACAAATATTTAATAAAAACATCCAGTCTTCATGCTGTCGTTGTGGTGTACACAACCAAGTTCAGCGTGTTACTTAATTGAAATAAAGAAATAAAGAAAAGAGTGAAACATAACATAGAAAGCAAAAAATTCAAAAATCTTAGTAAAAAAGCATAAATATTTCATCATCACGTGAAATTTGGATTTCTATAAAGTTACTAGATCATGGATATAAATTTAAGTTAACAGCACATTACTCAATTTAACATAAACAATTTCATCACCAATGAGTTAAATATAACCTAGAAAGCAAAAAATCAAAAAATTTAGTAAAAAAGCATCATTATTTCATCATCAAGTGAAATTATGAATATCAGCAATGGATTTCTATATAGTTACTGGATTATGGATCTAAATTCAAGTTAAAAGGTCCAATCCATATCAAATACAAACAAAAAAAAAAAATAAATAAAAACATCCAACGCAATAGCCACAAAACTTCTATCCTCCACTAATAAGCAAAAAACACAATTCGTAGCATACGTTGTTCTGAACGAACGAAAGTGGTTCGGTTCCGATTTATTTTTCGCCCACTTCCGTCCGGAAAGTCATCATTTGAATGACTGTATTAAACGAAGTGTTGTCGGTTATTTGGTGATCGGTCGTGTCCTATTATAGCGTTTTTATCATATCATGTAGAGATTTATTATAAAAGCTACAGTTGAAAAGATACTTTACGACAAATACATATATTTTCGCACTTGCTTTTGTAATTGCTTCTCTTTTACTTATCGCACATATTGGACTGCTGTGTTCTTTCGTTGATAGCTACACACAACGTTCCCTAAAGTAATAAAGACAGCTTTTATTGACACTTTTGCTCCAACTTTAACATAGGTGGTCACCTACAGATATTTACACGTACATTACATACTTACAAAGGCAATGTGGTTCGTTTTATTAAGATGTATTAATTATGAAATAATAAATATTGACTCTTTCTTGAAATTTTCTCCTATCCGATTCTTTTAATTCCTTTATTGTAACTTAATAGTGAGTTGAACCTCTATATTCTATGGGCAATGCTATAGTACCTGTACGAAAATGGAAAAAATTTACCACGCCTATCCAATATTATCGTGTAACAAAATTTAATGATTTTTTTCAATAATTTTATAAGGCGCAGAGACAAGCTGCAAATAGCCCACAAAGTCTGTCCTTCTGCCCAACTGTGATAAACACTCCCCCGTTCACGAAAATGAAGATATCGCAATTTATAAGTGACCCAAACTTTTCGAGGTGCACGCTAACAACGCCCACACACCTATGCGGTCTAGCTTTATGATCGGCATCTAAAGAACATCTTTTCAATAATGATGATGAAAAATTACTACCTGGTGAGCCATTCCTGATTAACTGTTCTTCTTCAAGTTGCTAAAGCGCATTTACATTTAAATGGGGAAAAATGATTTGCTCTAAAAACTATTTTATATAGAAATCTTGATTCTTAGTACTTGTTGAACTGTATTCGTGAAGAACTAGAGAAATCTTTTGTTTTGAAGAAAAGTTACATATCTCTTCCTTTTTTTTCACAAGATATGTTCGTTTAATACGTTAAATTAGTTGTGGAGCAGTGTTGGGACTCAAAATTGATTTTTCCCAGGACTCTATTTGAAAAGAGTAGGTAAAAGATCGAACAGTTTTTTTTCGAACATTACACAATAGACAAAAAATAGAAAATGTACAAATAAATATGCAAGTCAAATAAATTGGCATAATCATTTATCTCTTCCATCAATCAAACGTTTGCAAATAATCATTTGCATTTAACAGCGCGGTCGGAAATATTTCACTCAGTTTAACAATAATTAAGAACATGTATAATTTGGTGTTTTTTTGCCGCAAATAACAATCGTTGGAAGGGCGATTGTGGTGGAAAATTAGGTGCACTTCGATAGATCTCCTTAGCAATTTATCTGGAAGGGTTTGAATTAGATTAGCAGGGCTTGCATTGAATCTACTCCCGACGAAAGAATTTTCCTTCAGGAAGTGAAAAGAACGATGAGCGTACTTTTCGTCTTTAGACCTATTTTTTACTGCGGACAAATTGAGAAGAATTCATTCTTAAAATACAAGGAACGCTACTATCTTACTGTATTTCATACATTATTCATCATTTTTTAACAACTTCTTAGGGCCAGTTTAGTAAAAAAAATGAAAGTATTTTTACAAATTAAGAACTAATTTAAATAAGTTTTATTTAATTTTGCTTTTTTTTCAGATCTAGTGGAGGAAACAAACGCAGTTTCGAAAAAGATCATAACAAACGCTTTTTGATTTATTCGGTATATGGTTGGGGATTGCCGACAATTATCACAGTCACAACGATTACCTTAACAAAATCCAATTTATTAAGCGAAAGTTTACGACCTAACTTTGGTCATGGCATGTGCTGGTTTAACTGTAAAATGGAATTGGAAATCACGTTAAGAGAAAGTCCGACTAACGATTCTCATCTAATTTCAGACAATGTTCCCAGTGCAGCGAATCTTTTATTTTTCTCAGGACCTTTAGGTATTTTATTCTTAATTAATTTCGTTTTGTTTGTAATGACGCTACGTTACTGCAATCGTGTTAAGCGTGAAATTTTTCGTATGCAAAGTTCAAATTGGGCGAAACCGATCTTAAAGAGGCGTTTCTTTATGGAAAAAGAACGTTTTGCAATGAATACAAGATTATTTATAGCAATGGGTATTACTTGGTTTCTGGAGCTGCTAAGCATAGTATTCTACGATCGAAAAAAAATGATTTTCTGGGCGGTCAGCGATTCCTTTAACGTTCTGCTTGGTGTTTTTGTATTTTTTATTTTCGTATTTAAGAAACGTGTTTGGCATGCAATCTTGACTAAGATTGGTAAATATCCATTTTATGGTTTATTGATAAGACAACTAAAATATTTAATCGTAGGTTTAAGGAGTGCACATAGTGTTACAGGAACACCAGTTGGTACGAGTACTACGCACAATATATCAATGAAAAGTCTTAATCTTATCAATAGTAACGCGAAACTTTTGCATCCAAATACAGCGAAGCGTACCCCAACCATGTAGATGCTGTTCTGTTGCCTACTTTCAAGCGCCATGTTTACAAGTATTGTATATTTCAATTGCAAACCCAATGCAAGGACACAAAAAACATATGAATATTTCTCAGAAATAATAATATTAAATTAATTATAATATTAAGTTAATTTTAATATTAAAGTAATTTTAAATAAGTAAAAAAAAAGAAACTCTTCTTTGCGGTCTAAACAATCATCTCGTAACCGCCTTTGTTGCACATCAAGGATAAGCCAAAAGATAACACTGCACCAAAAAAAGGAAACAGAGCTATTATTGATATGGTTAAACCTATCGCAGTGAAATTTTTATTTATAACATTTTTTAATTTGTACGCGCATCCCTGTAAGTAGAGAGAAGATTAGAGTGTTGGGTTGTTCCCAAAGTGTTTACCCTTTACCGTTTCGTAAATATTTGTAATGTTTGGTACAGAGTTGTAAAGTTTCAAGTTTTTAAAACATGATTTCGGTATCGCATCTTGTGGCCAGTCTATAAAACTTTGATTACCGCAGCATTGTAACTAAGAAGATAGGAAAAAGGAAAGAAAAATTATGTGATCTTCACTTTTACGATAGCAATAACCACCCGAAAATAATTAATGGTCCAACCAGAATCAATCAATTTTATTGGAACCAATTTTCATTGATTGCGGAAACTTTTTAGATTATCGTGGATAAAATAGAATAATAGCAATAGTTTCAGGTACAATAAAGAAAAGCGCTTTAGCTAATCTACGCGTCTGTTGGTAAATAAGTATACGAGTAAGTCGAATGCAACAGATTTTTCAAAAGAATAGCCAATCACTTTAAAATAATCTGTCATATGGTCTAATATCGACTTCACCCTTACCGTATGAGTGATAAAATATTAAAAGCCCAAGTCCCCATCCCCACGTGTTTATAAATAAATTTCGTTGTAATGCATCAATAGCCCGAGTAAGTTTGAAACCAGTTTTCGGCGGCTCTAGGAAATATCAACGTAATATATTCGGAAAGCTTCAGCTTTCACTCCTTGCTTGGTTTATGAGTTAATTTCGAAAAATGGTTTGCAAATTTTTATGGCGAACATTTCTCTCCTTGCAAGGACCAAGAGGGAAACCACGTGAAACTTTTTAATTTTCTTTTCTTTAAGTAATGCAGCGAGAATTTGCAAGATCGAGCTGCAAAGGCAACTTCTTTGTTACCGATTTCGCAATAATCTCCTGGTCTAAGCAGTTATGTATTGAGCAGCTTGACATCTAAACAATATGTTTATATTTAGTATTGCGTAGGAAATGGAAAGATTTGTAAATTGCAATTTTACCCAGTTTTCAGCAACATAATACTAATATCGCACTTGTCGAAGTTTGGAGACATCAAATCGATTAGAGGAAAGATTCCAAACGTAATTGATTGGGTATGTAGCCAGGGCAATAAGCTTTTGATATCCACCACTTAAGATGGCGGTATATTGATTTTGTCTTTTTCCAAAGTTTATGCTAACACTCAAAAGGAAGCTCCAGAGACCCTACAAAGGTATAGATATTCTTGATCAGCGTAAAATCCTGAGTTGATTAATCCATGTCCCCCGACTGAGTGTCTGTATGGGGTTGTTGGCACTGTCCTGGTCGCAAAAATGAACATATCAACTTCAAATTTGGTAGAAATAATTGAAGTTTCTGCGCGAAGGTTGGTATTGAAAATGCTACAGCTAAAGCGCGCAATGGAGCCTAAACTGAAAGTAACTCATTTACTTTTTAACAAAAATTGTTGGATATTTGCTCATTACCTGGAAATTATTAAAATTAAAATCCTGAAATTTTCCACATTTACTTTACGAAGTTCTCATTTTTTTACGTGTAAAAATGAAAAACCTCCGCCACGCCCACGCAAAGTTACAAATGATTAAATTCTGGTTTTTTGATTTTTTTAAATTTTATGCTCATTTATCGTAAGGCAATCAAAACCGAATGTTTAAAAGTACTTTGTACACTCCCTATCTGCCTAAAAATGGGTTAATTGTAAAACAATACCGCGATGAGTTGTTTCTTAATAATACCACCGATATGGGTATCAAATAAAATAACTTTAAGAGGGGAACGCACCACGAGATAGTGGTGGGCATGTGACATTCGGCCTCGCCGAATATAATATTCTTACTTGTTGTCAACAAAGTATTCGCGCTCACTTTGAATAATAAGATTTGTGTACGCATGCAAGAAACAGCAGTAGTGACTTACTACCGGTATGGACCGACAATATCTATCTTATCTATCTTATTATTTCTTATAAGTGAATGGAGGAAAATAATTTTTTCCTTTCAATTCGCTACAGTTTAAAATCGGTCCGTCGATGTACTCACATTTTTCTGAACTGTATCCAAAAGATTATCATTATTTGTTGAATTACTAAAGTTGTAGTTGTTGATCTCATTCGAAATGCCATCAGTTATACCATTTATCACTTGGTTTTTATATGTATAAATATAAATCGATAATGAAAGTAATGAAAACAACATTGTTATCAAAATACCCCCGTTCTGATCACATAATAAATAAGAATAAAAGGGAAACATTAGCAATATCATATTTGTATCTACCGTCTGGTATGCTTACAATAACCAGCATTGATTGTATTTTGACAATGCAAGAACAGGCTAAAGAAGTCACGAAAATGATAGTCGCACCCATAACTATTAATATGCCATAGACTTGTTCAGAATAGTTTGCGCTGATTATCAAATAATTTTCAAAATCGGTTTGCAGCCAAACTCCTATCCATATTAGCGATAAACCGGATAACTAGAAAAAAGGAAAAGTTTTATGCAAACTCCCTTAGGACACTATTCCGAATTAGTACACAAATGTCTTACCCAAAATGCAATATTGAAGAGTATTAAAAGAGATCTCAAACAAAGATACGACATCAAACTTTCATTAGAATTCATTTTTGCGTTTCTTTGAAAAATGAAAAAAATTCTAAAAGATAATTCTTTTATTAACAAGCCCTAGACTGACACCAGGTGCCTGTTGCGTGCTGCTCTTACGACTGTCACTTTGATTAAAAAGAACAATGTTAACGCTTTCGTAGCTAATAAATATCATTAAAGAATATTCGCGATTCGAAAATTCACTTCGTTATGATGATTACACTAAAGTTTTCTAATATAAAGTTGGAGCCGAAACTGAATTGCCCTTCAGATATGTACAATTATGAAAAACAAAAGTTTTTAAAAGGATCGATAGAGCAGAACAAAATTTAATGTGGAGGATATTATCTCCATTCGGACATCTAAGTGCAATGAATACGTTTTGATAAGTTTTTATAGTCACTTCTCTAGGGTTAGTTGTTCTTAGTTGCTGTTGAAAGTGTATTTTATTACGTTTACATTATCGCATATAAATATAAACAATTTGCTCTGTATGCATATACAGATGCGTATTTATATGAATAATTATTTTTACTAAAGATAGGGAATAGAACTTATGTGAGAATGAACTTTACGCATAAAATAATAATCGTTATTTTGTTACGAATAAGCAGACAAACATTTTACTCGTGAAAAGAGATTTCTTTCGCTTTTTAGAGAAGCGCGAGGTCATAAATTTGCAAACAAAGAGATCGTAAATCCCTATATCTGCTTAATTTCAAAATATACAACACCATCATTACAAACTTTGCGCCATTTATGAACTGTCAACATACAATCACGATGACATTTGGCAAATAAGAAGAAAGAAGTTTAAAGATACAGATATAGGACGGAAGAACACAATTGTAATTTTCGAAAACGTAAGAGAATAAGTGAACTACTTTGCTAGCTTTCATCAGTTTAAGTAAATGAATTACCAAACTTTTTTGATGAACTTTTTTGGTAAAAGTCTCTCTTTTTTTCTGTTAATCTTTGTTTACAGTTTGTTTGGCTTTCGCTCTAGTGGCATCGAAAGTAAGAAGTTTGCTTTAATTTGTTGAGAATTTCTGGCGTGGAATTTTTTAGTATTTGTTTTTTTTTTTTTCATAAGCTCCTTTTGTTTTCACTGGACATGGATTGTTTCTTTACATCAGGGAAAACAGACCCTGAATCTGAACGATTCGTCTCGTGTTGGCTGTGTGATCGTTTTTGCCATGCAAAATGTGCTGGTATTATCGGCCGTGCTGCTCATACAGTCCTTGACCCCTCAAAAGGCTTAAGATGGTCATGTCCTGATTGTAGAGAGCGGGACATAGATTTCCACAAACTCTTCACAGAGAAGAAAAATTGTTTCTTAAATTTGAGCAAAAATCTCGACTCATTATTGGAGAAATTCGAAGTAATTAAGACTAGGTTTGATGAGTGTCCTTATATTGAGCACTCAGCTTCTTCTCCAGCTAACAAAGTTACAACTCGTAACGTAGCGTATAGTTCGTCACCTCTGAGTTCTCCTAAGTCTGATTCGTTGATACAAGTTAGCACCTCCTCAAGGTTTACAAAGAACGTTAGCGTTTGTGCCACTGTTGAGTCGGTCGGCAACAAAAAAGTTGTAAATAAGCAGGAAGTTCCTCTGGTTTGAGCTATGCTGAAGTGGCAAGTGTATCTCCCGCCATTGTCGTCATTCAATCCACTTAGGCTTCATCGCCTAAAACTAGTAACGAGAATAGTAAATCGTCCTCTCTGCTTGGCTGTTCGAGTGTGAACGCTGGTTGCCAAACTGGGCATGTTGCACAAGCTGCTCGTTCTATGTTCTCACCAACTCAAAACTTCCCCATCCGTGAACCCTACTGCAACTAGTACAGATGACATGTGCTTGAAGGCAGTTCCTCCCAGAAGGGCAATATTTGTGCCGAGACTGGCATCTAATACATCTGTGGATAACATAAAAAGTTATCTGGCGGCGAAAGTCCCATCTGTCAATTTGAAGCGTGTTAGCATTTTGAAATTGGCTGCTTCTTATCCTGGAGCAATCTCGTCTTTTAAAATTCTAGTTCCGACTGAAAACATGGATATGTTGTTAAATAAACCATTGTGGCGGGTTTGATCCTTAATTGAGGAATTTATCCCTCGTGATCGACTCCGTAATACTAATGCAGTAGCCCTTTTCCCTGCATAAAACTAAACATTTCTTCAGGCTCATTATCTCTCATAAAGATCTTTAAAATATAGTTGTGCGCCTGGACCTGATGGAGCTCCATCATGTGTACTTAAATCTTGCGCTGTCGGGTTATGTGGCTTTATCTCAAAGATTTTTAACCAGTCCTTGAATTTAGGTGTTTTCCCTTTGTGATGGAAGAGTACTTTCCTTATCCCTATTCAGAAAAGTGGAAGTAGACAAACCCTTTGAGAACAACAGGGGCATAGCCAAGTTGAGTGTCTTGTCTAAGCTGTTCGAATGAATTGTGGATCGGCATTCGGCCTTTGCCATTAATTCGTACATTTCTCCACACTAGCATGGCTGTCACCAATTTGTTAGAGTTTACTTGTCAGGTTTTCAGGGCTTTTTCTCGCACTGATGTAATATACACCGATTTAAGCAAAGCACTTTATTTGGTTAACCATAACTTACTTATCTTTAAATTCCAAGCCTCTGGCTTCCCTTTCTATTTAGTGAAACGGATAAGCTCTTATTTGCACAATAGATCCTTCAGGGTTTTGTTTAACTTCATTACCTCGGATGAATTCCCCGTTATGTCTGGCTTACCTCAAGGAAGTCACTTAGGTTCCATTTTATTTAGATTATACATTAACGATCTTCCATCGGTGATTAATTCCAGCCAGATCTTAATGTATGCTGATGATGTGAAACTATTTTCTTCCTTCTCTGTTGAATCGCAATCACATCAGCTTCAAGGTGACTTGGATAAATTTGTTGCATGGTGCTCTTTGAAACTAAATCTAAATAAATGTAAGAAGCTTTCATTCTCAACAAGAAAGTCATTTATTACCCAGTATTTCATTGATCCTCATAAGTTGGAGGACGTCGATACGTTCACAAATTTATGCGTCCTATTTGACCATAGATTACGTTTTAATTTGCATATTGAGCCCTTGCTAAGCGAAGCTAGGTCCGCGCTTGGTTTTATAAAGAGGTGGTCCAAAGAGCTTGATGATCCTTACATTTCGAAAAGGCTGTACATGTGTTTGGTTAGACCTATACTCGAGTTTGCCTCTGTTGTGTTGTCTCCTTCATATAGGTGCTATGTCGATGCAATTGAATCTGCTCAAAAGCAATTCTTGCTGTTTGGCCTTAGGCATTTGGGTTGGGACCCGATTACCGCTCTTTCCCCCTACGAAAATAGGTTGCTTCTATTATTCTTACCGTCACTTGAGAAACGCAGATTTGTTCTTGGGGTTTCCTTCTTAATCAAAGTAATAAATGGTACTATAAACTCGCCCGCATTACTTAGTAAGATAAGCTTAAATGTCCCTAATCGCTTCTCTAGGCACTTAGTCAATGTAAATACAATTATGAGCACTTTAACCCGCTCATAGTAGTTTGCAGAAACCTAAATGATGTCTTGTTTATTCACATTATCAGACTTAAAGTCTCTTAAAGCAACTTTCCTTAATACGCGCGATTTACCTATGTCGTACTTAAACTAACTTGCATTCTTAAATCTGTATCTTCGCAAAGAAACACATACAGCTTATTGGGTTTAAATTCAAGCAGCACAAATACCAACTCATTTTTTACATGTATGTAGCATGTTTCATTGACGATGTATATTTGGTTAAAATTTATAAGAATCGCTTAAAAACTAAAGTAAAAAGACTTGGTATCCTACACTAGCTATGGTATAGTGATTGTAAATTGAAGATATCTCCTATCATGAAATAATAAAATTTTAAATATTTTAACCCTAATGAACTATTTAACAAATAAAATGTTGCAATAAAATGTTTGTAACTTTTAGTTCCAATTATTTAACAGAAATATATGTTTTGCGTATAGTAAGCAAACATTTTGATATTGTAACACTATCCTTGAAATGAAATATTGAAAACCTTGAAATTAAGAAACGAAAAGAAAAAGGCAAAAAGGTCGAAAAATTGCACACAAAAATTCTAATTCCAATAAGAACAACAACAGCCAGTTAAACATGCAGGAAATTATAATTGAATTTAATAAACGTATAAAGAACAACGGAGAATAGGAGGAGGTAGCTGATTTCACAAATTAAACTGTTTGAATTTTTCTCAATTGTAAATACAGACTGACTTTTTTAATTATTCTTAATTGTGAACAAAATCAGACGCTTACTCTCAGATGTGACCAAATTATTTTTGAATTACTCTTAGATGTGACCAAATTCATAGTCGTTTTTTCAATTCAACAGGCGTTTTTTAACAAATGCAGACTGACTTTTTGAATTATTCTCAATTGTAAACAAATACAGACTGTTTTTTTGAATTATTCTCAATTGTCATTCGCTCGGCAACTCTGCATGAAATAAGACGCTTTCTTGCAGAAAATTCTTGAAAAATAAATTTTTTTTTTCAACAAAAAAAAAAAAAAAATTCTCTTTTTTTTTTTTGTTTCTAAAAACTCTTGAAGTAGTGAAAATATATATAGTGAAGTTGCGGCATTTAAACAAAATCAACAAAGGCTTCGACGTCCTTGTGCTTCTCCGCAAATTGCGCAGCACCACCTGCTGTCTTCAACCTCATCCTGACAAGACTCACTTCGTCAACTCACCTGTACATTGGACATCAAGTAGCGGCGATTCCTGTCAAATTCTTAAAACTGCTTTAACTTACAAGGCTTTGTTCTTTTCTGTCTCTGTCGGTTCCACCAAAAACGTCTGATTTCCATATCCCTTCTTTTCTCGGTAAGTCAGTTGATCCTTTTCTCTTGCCTTTAATCTAGCACGAAACCTAAAAGTCGCCCGCCCCTCAAGAGGGTGAGGCTCTCAAACATGTTATCAAACGATGATGATTTCGAAAAT